ATTATTCGACTTATGTTAAGAAAATTTAGATTCGACTTATGTTAAGAAAAGCAGAGGTAGACTTGGGCGTATTGTATAAAAAATGATCTTAAACTTGGGCGTATTGTATAAAAATGATCTTAATTTATTAGAACTAAATGGAAAATATGACACTAAATAGAATGCAATGGAGAAAAAGGATTTATGTAGCCGACCCCAATTAGTGGGATAAAGGTTTTGTTGTTGTTGTTGTATTTCTATTATTTTGGATTTCATGCACTTGTCTTTCGTTCACTAAACTAGCCATGTCGTTCGAATGTAGCATTCTGGGCATGCAGCAAGACTTTAGATTAATAGAACTAGTTTTTCCTTGCTAAAACTTTAATCCTAACAAAATTTGCTTTTTTCAGAGTTTATACGAACAGCAAGCATTGGAAATTCCAGCAAGGGTGCAGTGGCTTTATCCACCAAGTTTCCAGGTTCTTGCTTAATCAGTTTTGATTCTCAATTTCTCATGCTGACTCTGTTTTTGGCCTTAAAAGCTCTTTTGTCATCTTAACTGAAAAATGCTTTTTTTGCTATGTAGACCTACTTGTTGTGCTCCTCTTAACCTTGGCTTTATAATGTTTAGAGGACTAGTAATCCTGTAATGGATGATATTGCTTCTAATTTTCTATTGATTCATATGTAATTCAAATGTAGGAGGAAGCACATACAGTTCCAAGGACCAGATAGGAGAGTTTGCAACAAACTATGTTCTCCTTAACCTTAGGGAATAATCACTGTTCATTCCGTGTGGCTTGCCTAGCCTCTATGTTTGAGCTGCGCCTAAAATTCAGCCACAAACTATGTTTCCTTTTTTGCTTCTGCTTAAGGCGCAGCCTCGTTTGTATTCTAACGTGGCAAGTGAAAGGAGCATGTCCTCGTAAAGATTTTGAACTAGGGAAAATACCCCATGAATTCAAGCAATTAGTCCGGGTTTTGGGCCTGTTGTGAGAACAGTCAGTAATTTGACAGTTATGGCATCAGAACCAGTGGAGTTGACAGAGGAGAATGTTTTTATGCAAGCTTAAAAGTTTCTCTTGCTTTTGATTTCGCCTTTCCTGCTAAGGTGCCTCCTTCATAATGGTAAGTAGCACCAGCGGCTCATTTGGTTGCTTCAATTTAAAATTCTTGATGTTAATGTTTATTATATTCGTCATTTGATTGAATGTAATTAGACACTGCTAATTGATTTCAATTCCCAAAAACATTCTCTCAAAAGTGAGGATTTTAATTTCACATTAAATTAGTGAAAACAAAATCCTCACTTTCTACAACATATTTTCATCTACAAGTAACCAATTGGTCCCTAAGCTGCGCTATGAACTGAAGACTGGATCCAAGGTCGCTAACAACCTCAGCAGCTAAAAATTTGGCAGCAGTCACCATACTTATGGGAAATTAGGAGATGCAAGCAGAATGATTGCATGTGAGTGGCTTTGTTTTATCTGGAGAATGGATCTGTTTTTATTTAAAAATGAGAACTTTGCAATTTATGTTTCATAACCATTTAAACAAGTTCTGTTGTCAATCAAGCATTTGAGCCATCATGGAGTTTTTTTTTTTCATCGAAAAGTTCTTATGAGAGAAATACTGCACTTAGAATTTGAAAGTGTGATATTCCCGAGAACAATTCAGTTGTTTTGTCTTGATAAAATCACTGTATCAATATTGCTGGCAAATGTAACATTCTCGCTCTCTCCTATTGTGCTATAAATTATATTGCCATACATTTGTCTTGATTTCTGTGAACAGTTTTTAATGCAGTAGAATTCACATGTTAGGACATCTTTTTATGGATGACCTTTTACTAGAATTAAGACATAAGTTAAAAAAGCCTGTAAACCTGAGGCTCCAAAGCTTCCAGCAGAGAACAAAGAGATGAGCTTCTCATAGCCATTCCCAAAATAAACTATTCCATGCATTTGAGAGTTAGATGATATAAGCTGCTTCCAAGACGGTGAAACGTTACCTAATTGTTGAATCAATATAGAATAGCAGCAGATATTCAACCAATAAATAAGAATAGATTTGTTGATGGGCTTCCAGATAAATTTCATCTTGCAAGAAATATTAATGATGGCGGGACAGAGAAAGCCCAGGCATCCCTTAGATTTTGACAAAGTGGTTTGCTGCCAAGAGATAGTGTGTGGCTTATAGGAGGCATCAGCAACTAATAACAGTCTTCAGAACACATTCAGCAAGAAATAAAGATCTGAGCCAATAAGCTAAATAACTCAACGTGGTCATTTTGATGGCTTGGACTTCCTTCAAAGATAGGAGTTTATGCTTCCAGCTTGTAAATCATACTTCGCTCTATGTAGTTATGAAATATAAATCTAAATATTTGTAAAGAGCCTCCAGGTTCTCCACGGTTGTTAGGTTTGTTTTTCAAAAAAAAAAAAAAAAAAAAAGAAAATCATCTTCACATATTAGTATTTTTTACTATGTCGGCGATAAAAAGTTGGGGTGTGGTGAGTCGCCCGTAGGAAACTGTCGGTCGCCGGAATCGAAATCCCGCCGCCCGCTTCGGAAGGACGTTTTAATTTACATATAGATTTAACTTTAGAAAAATATGAAATCAAACTGACCTCATAATTATTACAGTTTAAATGAAATAGCACTCTATCTCAAATCTTGTATCCATCCCGATAGATAAACACAAGACTTGAGGATGAAATTCGATCAAATAAACTAAAAAATATATGACGTCCGTTTGGTCTGCGAAATCGTTTTATTTGCCGACAAATTCCCCTATTTAATATGAAAAATTAAATAGGGTTTATTTTAAGCTGGGTTCGGAAGAGTTTCCTATAAGGGCAAGTCCCTATATAATTACATCTCTTAAATGACCTAAGTCACTTAAGAATACTCTCGATAAAAATCAGGAAAAATTATCTTCAAAGACTTCAAAATGATGAGACTTTTCAACGAAATCGGACAAAGATATGTGAAAGGGGAATGTCTCAAATTTGGAACATTTATTACAGAATTCAAAGGAAGAATAACTAGGGGATGCCACAGATCCATAGGAGATTCTCGGTGACTTTCCAGTCTACCTTATGGTTTGGCTCAGTTTCGAGGAGAAATATTTAAGTATTTTATCCCCTCAATTTTATTTATTTAGGGCTTACATTCGTGTGAAACGATCACACAAATAGCCTGAAAGATGTAAGGATTTATGTCATAACGAACGACAATCTCAGAATCTTAAAACGAGATAGGGCTTAGATCGTACAACAGAGCTATACAAATGTCTAAAGAAAATGTTGAGGATTTATGTTGTGCTAGGCAAACAACCTCAAAATCCTATGGATTGTTGTTTTAATTCTATGGAAGGAATGATTTAACTGGGGAAGATATGTTCTGCTGTTGAAGATGGTCGTGTTGCCCACCGCGCTAGTTCCAAGCTCCTTGTCGTGACGAGTTTGAGTTTTCTAGGGTGTCAGGTTATAATGTCAAATCCAGCGGCCCTATGGTTGTAGTTCTTCAGATATTTTATAGGGAACATGTTGAAGTTGTATAGTGTATAGCATAACAGTAGGGTATGTAGCGCAGGACAAGCAGTAGAGTATGCAGTAAAAAAAGCAGTACAACATGCGGTGTAAAGGAAAAGTAAAAAGAATACAGCAGGTAGGTGATTTGCAAGAAAGAAACATGTTGTAAGCATAAAACAAACCTGTATACCTGGGAGGTCCGTTATTCCTTAGGTGTAATTGATGCAACAGGTAGAAGCAACAAAATTTGAGAAAGCAGGTTGAAATGCTTTATATAAACGAAGTAAAGAAACGTCACCCAGAAAACACGAGAAAGAACGGTAAATGACCCGTACGAGAAAATCGACAAAGCGACAAATTGATGAAAATCGTAGAAAACACGAGAAAATCCCGAGAATAGACCACGAGTGCTTTGTCCAAAAATTCCAAGAAAAATATTTGAAAAAATCTGAAAAGAGGGGGACCGCAAGCACTCGGGTCGGGGCTAGGCTCAAATATATATTAGTACTCGAGGGTCGTCGAAGGCTACTCGGTCAACCAGACGTATAAAGTCTGTCACTCAACTAGAAGAGTGTCTTATCGAACCTAACTCAGGAGGGTATTCCTTAGCCTAAACAGGTGATCAACAAGTGGACAACCAACGTTTAAAATTTATTTATATTTTATGCACATAGGTTTCAAACATGCAAAAAAGTGGACTGTATCAAGTTTGTTTGTAGCGAAAAATGTATTTTTGTTTTATAAAAAGGTGTATCTGTTCTTATCAAATTTGTTTTTATCAATTTTGAGAAGTAGTTGTTCATGAGTCGATCGCGCTGTCGTGCATAAGGCTACCAACAACCTAAGAAGGTTCAGGTCAACTCCCGTTTGTCTTGTGTCGGTGAATGATACTGTCATCCTATAGCTCATAGGGTTCCTGAATCGGATCCTGATGGGTTCCTGAATCTGATCCCGATGTCGTAGGATGACATATCATTCTGTTATATCTTCGGTGTGCCTTCGGTGTGCCTTTGTCATCATCTCCCTAAGCCCCAAAACAAAACCGACCTACTTGCAATCTTGTTTCATGGTTTCACGTATAACAAAAGACTATACGTGGACACTTATGTATCAGACATAAGCATCAAAAACTGAACCAAGAAGCAAGGAAAAAAAAAGAACGAAAATGGGGTGAGAGAGAGGAGGGACTGATTCACCTAAAACATCGAAAAGAACGAATGATGAATCAGCTCTCAAAACTCGTGAAGAAAATACCTGAAAAAGAAAGCCCGAAGATCCTTGAATCAATTCGAAAGGGTATCATTTTCTCACGTTTTCATAAGTGAATCAACCCAAGTCAAAATGACCTCCTAACACCGGTATCCAAACCCCAAAGATATATTTTATGAAACCAATTTGTCTCAACCAAGTATTCTCTCGAAATAAAATTCGAAAATCTCCCGAACCTCACAATTTAAATAAAAGGAAAATAACCTTGGGATGACGGCCACTTATACTTCCAAAAATCATGCCAACATTAAAGCTATTCAATTCCAGACTTAATGAAAATCTCCTCGTATCAAATAAACATGTAATTCTCCGGCTAAAACCACATAGAAGCTCACGGCCAGGCTTCAACAAATAGATGAACAACAGCTAAGGCTCTCGGCTGAGGCAACCCTACTCAATTATATGAAGATATTTGATATACATAAGAGAGTGAATGGGCAAGCCTTCACAAAGCCTCCAAACCGACTCCAATTTCACCAAGTAGGACATAAGGAAACTGTTCAACCCATTCTTCAATCACTTCACTGTATAGATAGGGCAAAGACATACATTTTTGGATGACAAACTTGACTCATCAATCAACACCCAAGCCACTTTGTGTAGGAAGAGCCAAATAAAACCAAAGGACTACCAACAAGCTCACGGGTAGGGGTAGGAACTAAAGCCAGCAAAATCACACTCAAACTACCTCTCAGGTAAGGGCAGAACAAGGCAACACCGAGCTCCCAACCAGAGTAAAATCGAACCGCAGCTGAGGTTCAAACCCAAGCCACAACAAAAGGGTAGAAAACACTTCCATGCCTTCAAGACATAAAAATGCAATGCCACCATATATTTCGGATGAGGATAGCTATGGAACTTTTCCAAATCAAAATAAGTTCCTTCACATTATGCGCTTTTAAGTCAAATATGATCATAAAATGCCAAAACTGAGTCAACACAAGCCAAAACCGAGCCTAGCAGGGGCCAAGGCAAATAGAATTGAACCCTTCCACAGCTATTGAGCAGGGGTAGGAATGAACACTACAACAGGCTCTCGGGTAGGAGCTAAGACAAGCAAACCGAGCTCCCAAATCAAGCCAAAACCTAGCCTAGCAGGGCTAAAATAGGACCCAAGCATCGATATAAACTCAAGCTTTAATAGAAATTAAAGTTCCGGCTACTTCAAGGTGAAACCGATCCATTTAGTATCGAAGGACCAGTTCACATGCTTTCTGAAACATCAAGATATAGAGCCAACATATGTCTTAAACAAGAGCAACAATATAGAGAGTATATTTAAACCCCCAACTTAAATATTCCCAAGCATGAAACAACTTCAACTAGAAGTTTAAACAAAGTGATACAGGTTAAAGCAAAGTGATCCCTCCCGAGGTGCTAAACCCAACCACCAAAATAAGTTACAAGACTTGTTGAATTAAGTAAATCTTCTCATAACATGTATTTTAAGCAAGGAAGAGCCATAAGAAGCCAAAACCGAGCCCCCAAACATGCATGAAAGACCAAATAAACTCTCCAATATCTCATGCTAAATAAGAATAGATGAAAAAACCTCATAATACATCGGGTCAAAAGGATAGTCTCGCAGAGGCCACGCTTTGCGGCAAGGAGAGTCGAGAACAGAGGATAAAATCCTCGCAGAGGATAGGATCCTCGGCAATGATAAGGGGATGGGTCGTCTAGGAGATTGTCTCGCGTGCCAACGACACGAAGGAGTGGGCTAGGCAAAACCGAGCGAACCGCGGCTAGAGCAGAGGTTCACGAGCGCGAGAGGAAGAAACGGGAGAGGGGAAAATGAAATTAGGTTAAGGATTTTTAATATAAGTTATTAATTACAATAATAATAATAATAAAATATTATTTATTATAAATAATATTTAAATATGTATTTTCCCCAAGACGCGCCGTCGCAATGAAACGAACGTCTTCTCTTAGGCAAAATCGATGTTCTGGACGCATCGGCACAATCCATTTCGTCATTCGGAGTCGTTCGGGCAACCTCGTCGTCGATCGGGTCAAAAACGCGTCGCGGTCCGAATCCTATCAAAATTCCAGTATGAGTTCAATCAAACAGGACGGTGCAGAGGACGGCGCCGCCAAATCAACGAGTACAGTCAATCCTAAGGCCGACAGTCCTATAGAAATACTCTCTGAGTTCCTTCGGAGTAGCCTTACCTGCTAAGCAATAGCGGTCAAAACTACTATATGGAACGTCAAGTCGAGCGAAGAAAAGTTTAGAATTGCTAACGGGGGGGCTCATCCACTAGTTTTCTAGTAGTAGTCGACAGAAATGTCCTACAACTGGATCTTAGGCTACTGAGGGGAAAACTGCACCTCGACTGAAAGCGAGGTCAACAGACTAGTAGAAATATTCTTGCAGGAGACAAGTTGAAATTCCCCTTTCAGAATAGCATTCAAGTAAAAGACTTTTGAATGATGTAGTCATATTCTCAAAGGTTAAACAGATAGGAGCAAAAGACTTTTGAATGTAGTCATATTCTCACTATGATTATCATTTGAACTATGCATTACTGATCACGCGAACCTCAGACCATTTTTAAACTGAAATAGCTTGATAGATAAATGAATATTTGAGATATTGATAAATTTACTAAGTGCTTCGAGGCAATTGATTGAGAAGAAAGGATATGTTTCTACTCTCAAAGCTATTTAAGAATCAGAGCTATGGCAGAGTGTTTGATCTTGTTGGGAAGCATGACAAAACATGAGTAAGGACTGGCAAGAAATTGAGATATAATATGTTCCCAACATTAGGAGAAAGTTTTAGTATTGAATTTATCTGGACCAGGAGTCTTATCCTTGAGGGTTTGTTTTACTTTTCAGCCCTGAGAAAGGGATGTTCTGGTTTTCTAGGTTGAGTTGCCCAACAAGTAGATTGGCTAGAAGAGATTTTTAACAATTAAATATTGAATGAACATTATTTAGATTTAAAATAACTTTAGCAGCACATCATGGAGTCCATGAAATTGGATTACAAACTGGGTTATAATTATAACAAAAAAAAAACGGTAATGTTCTACAAATACCTGGTGTAACTGAGGGAGCTTGTTTCAGCTGAAGATTGTAAACTGTTTGAAAATTTTGCAACGCTGTACATGCATTTGTTATAATTATAGTTATCATTTTATGATACTTTGTACATCTTTAAGAGAGTAATAATAATTTTTAGGGAAATTTTCATACATTCAACAATTCATTTGTATTTACATATCTAACACCAAAAGTTTGACATTTACATTATGTCATTTTATTTTCATGATCCTATGCATGAGAAGTTGTATTTCACTTTTAAAAAGTTAGTGGTAGTGGTACTTTTGATGTGATATTAAAAATTAGTGTTGTGTATGTAAATATGCATTTAGGTGTTAAATGTGTAGATACATAAGAATTATGTGGTATGTATGTAAATGCCGCTAATTTTTAATAAAATGCGGACTATTATCAAAAAGAAATTTAAATTATGATCAATATGCGCTAATACTTAGCTGTAATTCAGCCATGCTTGAGCTAGGCTAATGCTATACGACTTTGCTTAGCTCAGCGACTTTGAAACCTGAAGATGAGATATTTTGCAAGTGAAACCCGTCCATCTACTCCCTAGCTCTGATGCTGCAATATTCTGACATATTACTCGTCACCTCTAGGCAATCTGGGGCTCAACTGTTCCGTCTCAGCTTCAGCACATTTTAATAAGCTTCGATCAGGTAAATTCATTTGATAAAGATGAGTGCTGTGATTACCATAAAATATTAAAATATGAATATCAAAGGATTTTCACTCGACTCAAAAGAAGGGATTTGTAATCCCCACTAATTGATGAGTTAAACCTTCCCCTTAAATGGTCCATGGAGTGGTTTAAGGTTAGAGGAATACATATTGCCTGAAACCTCACTCCCTAATAGACTTGGAAATATTCTATTTGGGTTTCACAGGGAACCAAATCACTTGATATTGGAGTGTCGGGCAAGATGGGCTATTAATTTCAGGTCTTCTGGGTATAAATAATTTCTTTTACAATCAGATTTATTAAAATAATATAACAACAATAAAAAGCTGCTTAGGACGGGGGCGGCGAATTGTAATGCCCACAATAATAATTTTGAAAAATAATAAACAATGTTGCAAACAGCTACAATCATACCAAACACGACCGAAAACACAAAAAGGCATACAAACAAAAGCACAATGCTTCTTAGAGCCAAAAAGCATTAGAGTCCATAGTTCACAGAGGCATCCCAATGATATATACACCAATTCCTATAGATGGATGATAGATGCTGTTTATTTTGAAGTTCATGTACAGCGGTTGAACTACTTCGAGACAGCCACCTGAGCTGCTGCTAGCCTCGCAATTGGCACCCTGCACTTACAAAAATACCTTAAGCCACTTCACTTCAAAAGTCAATCTTATAGAATTTGAACTGTACAATGAAAACACTAAAGAATTTATAATACACTATGTAATGTAGCACATTAGGCAATAGAGGCAAATCAAGGGCTGATAACTAATACAAAATTTTGAAAATTTGTGAAAACATGCCCCTAAGCCGTAGTATCTCATGATCAAGCACTGAGATAATTAATATGTAATATAATCATTGAGGATGCCATACATGACTGGGAGCCAAATGTAACTTACTACATAGCGATGCAATAATTAAAATATGGGTATGTGATATATCTGTGAAAGAGTGATTGCTATAATAGTCTAGCTCAATACTATGGTTTATAATGTGATTTATGTTGATCCTCTTTCCCTCAAAAGACTTGGGATACAGCAAATCCTTGGAAATGGGGATTTTTTATACTCTTATGATGCTTCATTTATCATATTTATTAGATTTATAACAACAATCCCTAGCCGTTATTACTTATTCTGTTTTGCTTGGGTCGACGTTTCACATTATTGTATGAGGTAATCTTGTCATGTGGAAAAACAAACATATTATGTGGTTGCCCGAAACAGTGCTGAAGCTGAATTCCGGTCCATGTCATTGAAAATTTGTGAAGCCTTTTGGTTACGCATCATGCTCCGCGAACTTCGTATGTCAACCTCCGTCCAGTTGCAACTATTATGTGATAATAAGACCATAATCAACATTGCTCACAATTCAATTCAGCATAGTCGTACCAAACATTTGGAGATTGACAAACACTTCATTAAGAAAAAGATTGAGTCCGAGAAAATTGTGTTCCATATATACACTCCAGTGGTCAACTAGCGGACATTCTCACCAAGAATGTTCCTTGTTTTTTATTCGATAACTTCAAATTTAAGTTGAACATAACAGACATCTATGCTTCAACTTGAGGGGAAGTATTAGATTTATAACGACAATCTCTAGCCGTTATTACTTATTATTTACTTTTATTTCCTCATTATATATTTCCTATTTTGTTTTATTTTATTTTTATTTTTTTCTAGTTGTTTTATTCTATTTTATTTTCTTTCCGTTATTATGTCTAATTGTAATTGGGTTTAAATACCCCTCCTCATATCAATAATATTATGTGGCTCTATTCTCTAAAGTTCACAGTTATCTATCATATCAATCGCACACTTTTAAAAATACCCCCGCAATCCCATCTAAATCCCCAACATAGTAGAATCAAGCTATTGAAGGAAAATAAATAGCCAAGTCAGTGTGCCTTTGAATCAAATTCCAATAGTTACAAAACGTGTTCTGCAAAAGTATTAAATAGCTAAAATAAAATAAAATCAATCATATCATGATCAGCATGAAAGACCACCCTCTGCTTTCATTGTGTTAAACCTAGGGAGCATGCACATGATTTTATAACTTAGCACTTAGGTCAATGATCTTATGACATTCATCATCAAATGACATCAAACATGTTTTTATGCATCTGGGTCTTTCATGTAGAAGGTTGTAATAAATCCTATAGTAGGTAGGGCTGTAATTGAGCCACGCGGAGTTGAGTATATCATTGTTTGGACTTGGCTTGGTATAATTATAGCATGTGTCAAGCTTTCATATATTGTTCAAGCTTGATTTGCTTAATTTTTTTACGACAACTAAATGAGTATTCAAATGAGCTAATAAACGAGTTAAAAATTCAAATGAGAATATAGATTTTCATATAAATAATTTAATAAATAATTTTACAATTTTAATCGCAGTTACTAATTTGTTGATTATGAAATCTAAAATATTTGAATTTTACTAATTAATTACATAATTCTTATTGATAGGACTATACTGATTCAAAATTTATAAGTGGAAGAACTAAAATGATCCTAAAAGTTATAGGGATAATCATTTATTTAATCATATTAATAAGAAAATAATAACAATAAGACAATCCACAATAATATTGTTCGTAATTGCAGTATGATGATCATAAAAATGAACTCATTTCATTCAAGGTTATAAAAAATTTATAAAAGAGAATCTTTTATGACACTCTTTAACTGCAAATATTTTATTCTAAATTATCATTCACTTATTAATAAAATAAAACTATAATTAATAATTAAACTAAAAATATTATTGATGTAATAATATATTACTATTAAATTTATAATTAAATAAATTCAAACTAATTAAATTTTATTTAAATAATATATCATATATATAATACGAGTTATTATCAAGTTTATTATCGAGCATTTAACAAGTTATTTGTTAAACTACAAACGAGTTTATTCGTGAACATAAACGAACAAGTTTGACTATGTACACGTTCAGTTCGTTTAAGGTTTAAGCTTGTTTCTTTACTAATTTGAACGAACATGGTCGGGTCTTAATTGAGTTGAGTTCAAATTGTCATCGAGTGCATTAGTTCATTTACAACCCTATAGTAGGAATCTTCTCAAATGGTGAAAAGAAAATCTTAGAAGCCTGATCAACATTATAATTGCTGCTTTGGGCATCTCTTTTCAATGGGCATACAATATAAGTCATCCCAGTTAAACCATGTATCTTTTTCAGGTAATATAATAATAAAAGGAGTTGTAATAATAATAATAATAATAGTATATTATTATTTATTTTTATTTTCATTAATATTAATAATTATAATAAAATGGAATAAACTAATTAATCAAGCATCTAATAATTAATTATTTAATTGTGATAAAAGTAGACTAATCAAAGATTATATAGTATCATTATTTGTTTAGGAAATTAATTATATTTATTGATTATGAATTAAATTATATTAATGATATCAAAGCGATTAGATTTAAAAAGACAATCTATAATTAATTCAATCAATTTAGAGAATAATATTTGAATGAGTAAAAATTATCTCCAATCAAAACTCAAAAGGGGAGGATGAATGCATAAATCAAGAAAATAAAACTCTTTTCCGCAAATCACTTCAATGCCTAGCCTCATGACTTGCCAAACAAGATTCACAAGGGGGAATTTTTTAAATGTTAAAAATTAATCTCTTAATTTTAGGATTTTGAAAGTTAGTTAATAAGAGTAGTTATCATATGCTATAATTCAATTATTTGTCAGGTAGTCATTTTTATTAGATTTTTAAAATATTTCTATTGGCTCCTTGTGGACTATAAAAAAACAAAATTATCATTCATTCAAGTAATCATTTAATAATTAGATTGTTCTACTTTGCTCTTTATTTTTCTCTCTTTCTATAGTTTTTCAAACCTATGTCTAGCATTACAAATTTCAACTCTCTCTCTCTCTCTCTTAGTCTCTCAGTATCAAGGGAGATCCAAGAAGAAAAGGAGCATCCCATCTTCAAGAGATAACTCCATCTCAGTAAAGCTCCACCAATTCTAGCCTTGATTATGAATTAAAGTATTCCCCCAAGTTCATCACTATAGTCTCTATAGTCTATCAAGTCTAAGTAGTTCCTTCTATCATCAAACCTTTAGGGTCATATGGGATTGCTTTTGATTTTTTTTCTATTATGTGTTATGTTTTGATCTAAAATAAAACATGTTTGATATGATATAACATGTTTAGCTGTTTTTAAAAATACTCAAAATAACTTTTAGATGTTTTTAGTATTTTTAAAAATAAGCTCAGTTGTTTTTACAAACAAAAGATAATAACACCTAAAAATACACTAAACAAATAAGTTTTTAAAATAAAAAACAAAACAAAAACAAAAAACAAAAGTGATCCCAAATAAGCCCTTAGTTTAAAAATAAAATAAAATGAGAACCCTAAAGTTAGTATAACCTATTATTGAAAGAAGGCTATTGGTTTACTAGATGGTTCTTTCAATTCTCCGCCCATACTTCTATTGTAATCAAAACTAGTGCAACAAAAGCTTAACAGCATTTGGTCTTCTAAGACAAACCAATCATAGCTTTGATTAGTGGAAGAAGGTACTACACTTTCCACAACATCAACATTTGAAAAGAAATGGTCATCTCCGTGAGGTCATGACCAGCATTATTCTTAACTAAAAGCAAAAATAAAATAAAATAAACTAAAATTTGACCTGAATGGCGAGCATGATACATAGTCAAGTCCAACTTCTGCGAAAAAGGAAATTGAAGAAGGTTCTCCGCCATGCTCACCACATATTCCAACCTATTTCATTGCACGATTAACTCCTCAATATAAAATGCAACTCTTCACTAAACCACATGCACCAAAAAGAATTGGCTCACCTTTAGGTCAGGCCTAGCCTTTCGACCTCTTTCAGTACCCAACTTGACAAGCTGCCCAACTCCTTTCTGGTCAAGAACCTATTGAGGAAAGTATTTAGAAGGGAAGGTAGAAATAATAACATAAAAAAAAGCAACCATTGTGAAGCTAAAAATGCAGCACCCAAGCTGAGCTTTTGATAAAAAGTATATTACTGCAGCAGAACATTCTCAATATATCAAAAAAATTATACTATAAATTTTGGCACGAAGAATTTAGATTTATTAATATAACACATTTTATGGGACACCTAATTATTAATGCTGCCATCTTATTCTCACCTCAAATGGATCATGTTGGAGCATGCCCTTTGACAGATAAATTGGTAAAAACTTCCCAACATCATCTCTGCTATAGCCGAAAGTCATTTGTGTTAGGTCATTAGTTCCAAAAGAGAAGAAGTCTGCATACTCTGCAATCTGTCAATAAAGTTCATAATATAACAATAATAAAAGGATGATGTATTTCATGTTAACCCAAAAAAAAATCACCTACATATTGGATAAATTACTGTGTGAAAAGCACATAGAAGTTGCTTTCGACCTGCGTAATACAATTTGGTGCTATGTATTGTTGTGTATAGAATGTTTACAAAGAAATTTTATACACAATAATATATAGAAATTTTGTTCATCACTTTCAGATTAAACGATGAGTTCAACTTAATACTTTACCTCATCTGCTACCAGGGCAGCTCTAGGGATTTCAATCATCGTTCCCACCTTGTAGCTTACTTTAGCATTCATTGTGCTGAAGACTTCTTCAGCTATTTTTTGTATTAAACTCACTTGATGGCCCAATTCCTGCCAGATATAAAAAAAAGTAGGATCCACCATGCAACGTTGTTAAAATATATGCATAACATCTTCCTTGACAGTACTAAATGTATGTCTAAGTTCCATTCCTCTTGAAAGATATCTAAAAGAATGGGAAATTTGCTAGTAATTAGTAGTCAAACGCTGAAAATTAATAGATAGAAAGAAGATATTGCAATAAGCTGCGTTTAAGACAGCATTAAAAAAAAGGAGAGATCAATGCAAATGCAGTTCTTGAACTACTTCAGAGTAATAACTATTGAAATTTAAAGATAATTTCATGATCAACTTTAAGTGTCAAGTCAAATCTTAGCGCATGCATTTGTTACATGTATCTTTCATGGATTTCTAAAAACCCTATCTAATCCATGCAACTGATGCCATCCATCTAATCTCTATAAATACTTACCAACTCTAAGCTTCATATAAGAATATTGCTGGATGAAATTAATGGGCATCACTCATTCTTCTCCTTCATTCAGCCAAGTGTAGAGTCAAAGGTTGAACCAGTGGCTAGTGGAGTGATTGGAGATTAGTAGTTTGAGCTGTTTCATGCAAAGTGATTTGTTTCCTAATGAACATTGAGTGTGGCCATAATTACTTTCTCATTCTCATGATCATTGATAACCTACGCATATATTTCCTAATGCAAAACAGGTCGGACTAAAATGAAATCCAGTCCATAACGATAGTTGAATACAAAATCGTGCAATGTCAAATCAAAGTGTCTTGATCGTAATAAAGGTCGCATAAATATCACTTGTTTCTTGAAATGATTCATGTTGACGTGATTAGACTGATGAAATTGCTTTTAAAAAAAACCAAACAATTGATTCGATCAAAGGGTGAAAACAATGACCAACGAATGTGATGTCACATAAGTCTAACTTAAAACACATCGCATAAATCAAACTCATCAAAATATAACTCTTCTCACAAAACCAGTTCTGCTGGTGCGTCTGGATGAAGTTTTGTAATTGGAAAATGTGGATGTTTTACAATGTGAGGCACATTCTTAGCCTGAAGTGGACCCTTTTCATGCATACAGGCAATGTGCTAAAGAAGTTACGCCTCATCCTTCTGTGCTATAACTTGACCAATAACTAAAGGTGTATGTGAGAACATGTGAAATAAGGAGGACACCATGTACATGATATCAAACAGAAGAATTGTAAAAACAATTGTTAAATATATTACTTTTAATAATTTTGGGGGTGCATTGATTGATAAAATTTAAAATTTATGCCAAATGGGTACTTCTGAAGGACAGGGGGCATTGAAGATCAGATGATATTTTAGAATCAAGAAGTTACAAGAAAACAATGGAAGGAGATGATAAAGATGACAAATCTACCACTGATGAGTTGAGAAACTGTCAAATCCCAGTCAACCCTTATGAAAGATTGAGAGAGGGTGTCACATAGAGATTGAAATTTAGTCTCCAAGTGGAAAGTTACTAAGATGTCGCTAAAAACTACTGCATGCAAAAACTGTGATTTTCATGCATTCTTAAAGTTCTAACATTTACAATTGTATTACCTAACTCCTAGTGCCATCAACCTGAACTCTAGAAGTTCATTACTTACCATCTCTAAGCATTATATGAGGAGATGGTTGTATAGTGTTAATGGCATCTCTCATTCTCTCACTTCGTTCAGTATGGTGTAGAGATGAAAGCAGAGAGAGGTGGCCAGTGACCTAGAGGAATAATTGAAGTTTAATAGTTCCGTTGATCCTTGTCATAAAAAATTCTTTGTTGATTGGTTGGCAAAAAACACAGTAGAGTTGGTGGAGAGATAATAAAAGAGAGAATCAAAAAGGGCAGAACACTTATATGATAAAAGTGAGAAACATTCGAGCAGCAAATAGATGCATCTTCTATTCATCTCTGATCTACTGGAATCAACATCTTTGTGTGGATTTGGATGCGAACTTTGCTAAACCACTTACTTAAATCTCACATGCTTTTTGGTCTGCTTTTTCTTGCAGATAATTCTTTCCATTCTCATAATTGTCATTTCTCTTGCAATTGTACTTTCCGAGAACAGAACTTACACAGTTAAATGGTGTATGCAACTCTATGTGGCCATCAAAATATATAAAGAATATACGTGCATGAAGCTTCAATCAGTGCAAAGTCCAGGAGGTTAATGTACACATCAACACAGATTTATTCAGAAAATCATGAAATGTTTGTGTAAGGATTCAGATTTATAGTTGGTTATGTAAAAGAAATAAAATTGAGAGTTTTGTTTCCATTAGAACAATCTCAATACATAAACAATAATCAAAATCAATGACAACGTCAGTCTAAACAAACTACTAAGATCATCAGCAAATATTAATTTCATTCTTCCTCAAGATTATCATTTCCTATTCAACTGCCTTTTCCAAAGGTAACAATATGGTTCTTTGAAACCACAACTCTACATTTCAGAGTCATGATAATCCCGTAGGTTAGTGTTCATTGGATAACTAAAAATAAAAAATAGTTCATACCTGAGGTGTTCCAACAAGTGGAACCATTATTTCTGGAAAAACTTTGACACCTTGATTGCTCATGGAGATGGCAGCTTCAAAGATTGCACGTGCTTGCATTTCAGTCAACTCAGGATATGATATCCCAAGCCTGGTAGCCATATCGCATTCAGAATAACATGCAATGCTTATAAAGCTATTAATCAAACAAAAAAATATGAACAATCTACGAAAATGCTAAGAATTACTGGAGACTTCGACAACAAACAGATAAAAGAGAGTAAAATTACATAATGTGAGATAAACGTTAGGCTGCAATTGATATTACTCAATTTGATTCAGTAAGATTTGAATTAGCGTTGGAAAACCTTATTTTTACTCGACAGACAATCAGAAAAGTTTATTGTGAATATTGAGATTCCAATAATAAGATTGTATCAAACAATTTTAAAAAGCCCACATAAATTAAAGGATATTATTTTACAATATTCTATTGCACTGGAACATTTCTGTTCCACTAAACTTCTAGATCCATCAATTGTGGAAGTTGAAAAACAATTTTACTCTACAGACAATTAGAAAAACTTATTGTTATTCTTATAAAATGTGCCCCCAAAAAGAGAATTACAAATATTGAGCTTTGAAAGGCCAAAAATAAGATTGTGTCAAACAATTTTAAAAATCCCACATAAATTAAAGGAGATTATTTTACAATACTATATTGCACAGAAACATTTCTGTTCTACTGAACTTTTAGATCCAATCGAGATAATAAATGATCGCTCACAATCTAAACATACCACTGTTGATATTATAGGAACAAAATAGAAATTGAAATGTTAGTCCACAGGCTATACATAGATGTCATGGACACCAAAGGCATAGTTCTAGTTCTATGAATGTCAAAATCATTTATCTCATCAACCAAGCCTGCATAAAGAAAGGAACTCACCGCTTGAATATAGAAATCTGCTATTCAAGCCAAACTCTTTAGCTTTTTTAACTTTGGTCGAATAGGATATAGTGATAACCCACCCTAGCCAAGTTTCAACAAATAACTGAGTCACCCTCACGAGAATACCATTCTTGTAGAACACATTTTTCATGATCCAACTAAGCCCAAGCTGCCTCGTGCTGGTGTGTAATTATACAGCTAGCTTGATCTTTATAAACATTTGGGCATTTAATCTACTCACCTCTAAATTTGAATGGAGCTCAGAGTTTCTATGGCACAAATTTAACTTTCCATAAACTCAAGGAAGATTGATCATTTGTTCATACTGTGAATACACCTAGCTTCTCCAACTCTTCTATATGAGTGAATGAAATATATTCTGTTATTTTGTATTTATTTTTATACTTCATATGTGTAAAAGGGTAATAGTATTGTTCTAATTTTGTTCTATAAGAGATTTATCAGCAAAGCGCCATAGACAAAAAATTATAAATATGCTTTAGATAACTCATTTTAAGTTGAAAATACACCCAAAAATCAAACCTTCTTCCAATGCAGGGCCTTTGAAGGGTTTAATGATTGTGTGAGAGAGAAATTGTCCTCTATTTAGACTCAATACTTGGTCCTGTTAGTTGGGCCAGGAAAGAAGAATAGAACCTATGAACAAAACCTTCTCAAAAGCATAAAATCTAGATGATTTTTTAGTGCATTTCTTATTGTTATGTTAACGATGGCTTTATGAGGTACACATAGAAGCTTAAAGTTCAACTGGCTTGGGTACTAGCTTATACAAAGAATAGAAAGCCAACCAGAATCATGTCTAGTGCAGTCCATCCAAACCAGCCAACATAATCATAGCTCCTTAAATGACTAGTAGTACAAACAAAATCAAATAAATCCATTCAAGGATTCAAATAATTTATTGATTGTCGGCTAGATAATGATGAAAAGTATACCAAAGCGATATGCTAACTCTCTAACCTGCATCCACGAAAACCGAGCATGGGATTCACTTCAGAAAGTTTTTCAACTCTGGAGACAATCTCATCTTCCGGCATGCCAGTTTGCAATGTCAATTCTTTCACAATGTCCTCAATGTTACCTTCTGGCAGAAACTCATGAAGTGGAGGATCCAACAGTCGAATTGTCACAGGAAGTCCTGAAATTTCAAAGAATGCATACAAGTTATTAATTGAACCTGCCATTCTTTGAACATTTCCAGGAAGAAATAGTGATGATGCAATTCTGTTAATAAGTTATCATAAGAAAAAGAAATTCATAAAATAACTCATGCTCTGGCCAAAAATATTCAAAATTCTTACAAAACTAAAGAAAAAAATCAAGTGCCTAGCTTATCAATACAAATTTGTAATTTTTATTCAGAATGGCTGAAGTTAATTATAATGGAATGCTTACAATCATGCAAGTATGATACAAAATATTGCTTAAATCAGTTTCAAGCAAAAATCAATCTCATGAGGATGAAATTACCATCCATAGCTCGGAAAATGCCTTCAAAATCAGATCTTTGATAAGGCAAAAGCAGGTCCAATGCTTTTTGCCTCAGCTGAGGGGTCACTGCCATTATCATCTGCCTTACAGCCCTTATTCTTTCATCAGAAGCAAAGAACTGAAAATCAATCATGCATTAGCAGAAAAAAGGTGTATGTAAAGGTCTATGTCAGAACTTCTGAGAGAGGTCCTTCAAACATTGGTTCTTTTCAATTTACCATATGCTCCGTTCTACACAGTCCAATTCCCTGGGCACCATTGTTTCGAGCTGTCTCTGCATCTCCAGGTGTGTCTGCATTTGCCATAACCTAGAAGAAAATTAATGGTCATGAAAATTTCATAACTTCACAAAAAATGGATAAAGAATCCAACCAATCCATTAGATGTATTCATATGGTCCAAGGAGTGATTAAGTGGCGGATTATTGGAAAGACTGTACTCAGGGGTGTCGGTTTTTACTGTTAAGAACCAAAAAGCAGACATATTTCAAGTTGAACATACAGTCACATATTATTTGCAATTGAGGGAATTTTGTATTAGCTCCATCGGCTACATCCTCAATTCTGGTGCCTGTTTCACCTGAATCCAATTCTTTGTCTAGAAAGTGAATAAGATATTATAGCCTATTTTAAAATCTTTCAATTCGAGCGAACAGATGAAAAAAAATGTAGACCACTTCATCTGCTGCTATGCAAGTGCATGCATTAGTTTTTATGTAGTAAATGTACATTTACATATAATTACTTTATCATATCTTAATAAATTCAATAAGTTAAAAAGCATAGTTAATCAAAGAGACTTGAAAATTGAGCAGATGCTAGCCATAGTACTCGGTTCCATTGGTCAGCTCCAAATCAAATTCTCTTCATCATTCTAGTATTTATTATTATTATTATTATTATTGGAACAGGTAAAAGCCTGGCATTTTAGGGTTTAGCAAAAAAAATGAAATAAAGGACCCTTTTACAACGCTGCCACTGAACTTCAACTTCACTAACTTGAGAAACAAGTGAATAAAGTTTTTTTAGGCATAGTTCATTCTAAAAAGTTCTATTTCATTACCAATTCAATCATAGAAATTATAATCTAATCCAAAGTTCGATGATACCTTAAGTTTCCTCTTCGCATCAACCCAAGACATGAATGTCCCTAAATCTCCACTAAGAGCTGGGGGAGCTAGTGGTTGCTTTCCTAATATTACTTCTCCAGTTGATCCGTTTAAAGATAGCCAGTCACCTTCGTGTATCACCTTGTCTCCAACAACAATAATCTAACAGGCAAATGAGAAATAAGAAACCGAAGTTAAATAAAACACATGAATTATAAATGATGTGCAAGTCCAGATCTAAACTACAGGAGATGCACATATCACGTATGTCTTAGAATTAAAAAAAAAAAAAGAAACAAAATCTGAGCTATCATTTCGAAGATCCAATAAATTTTCATTGCACTGCACTTGAAACAACCCTCAATAAAGTTTAAAACAAAATCTGCACCAATAGTACGATTCAGGCCTGTACTACTTTAAATCCATTGCACACAATTTGTTTCCAATTTTTAGAGAGAAAGATTGAAGTTGCTAATTTGCCTAATCTCCTCTTAGAGAAGTAAGAGTGAGGCATTGTAGATCATCGCATCCCCAAATCTTGTATTGGTGGGAATTTCATACAATGGGCATGCATGTATATGTGTGTAAAGGGTGTTTGCATTGCTTTCAAAATTTTCAGTTCAAATTCAGATTCCGGCCACTAAAAAATCTAAAACAGATTTATATAAGCGGAAACATGCCATATTACCTTCTGTGAATCATTGATACGAATATCAGAGCAGCCGGAAATACAACATTTCCCCCAGCCGCGAGCCACAACGGCTGCATGAGAAGTCATGCCCCCTCTGGCAGTCAAAATTCCAGCAGCTGCATGCATGCCCCCCACATCCTCTGGACTGGTTTCTGCCCGTACCTTGCAAAATAAAAACAAATAATCAAACTTATATGGCAATACAAATCTAATTGTATTTAGTAAAGGGTCCTAAGACTTACTATAACTCATCGGTGGATCTTAGTGAGCTTAATCTCACTATAATGTGGCCCCAGGTTTAACTGCATGATTCAGTATATGTTGTGCTTGATACATTTCTTTTAGTAACTTTTTCATTTCAAACCCGTCGAGGACATACATAAGATTTTCAAATATAATACTTGAAGAGTTAGCATGACTATGACGTTTAGGGGATGCTCATTTTGAGAGAGTTTTGAGCAAGATTTTGAAAATCAGAACAAACATGAATCGTAAGGAGGAGGTGAGTTCTATCATTGAGGTTAACTAGAGATTGAATCAATGACATAATAAAAATTTAAATAATTTTAATATGATTTAAATGTTGTAACAATGATACAATAAAAATATGTTTATCAATTTAATATACAATGTTCTAATTCATGGCACGAATAAAATTCCAAATTAAAATTTTGAAATATAATATTTTAACTATCTTCTACATTTTTATCTAAATCTTCTATTTCTAGTCATTTGATTAAAATTACAAAGCAAAAAAAATAACATTATAAGAACTTAGTGGTTCATCAAAAATCAAAACCAATTCACGAGTTCAACAACCAAAACTTGATTGATTCTATATAAAAGTAAAATTTTTTGGACCTTAATTGAATCGGCCTAAGAACCAGTTCAGATTAGTAGATTCAGTCTGCTTTTAAAAATCATGGTTTTGAGAAGGTTCTTAAATTTGAAATCAAAGTTAGTGTATAATTATATCTAGCCAAATCATGGATTTAAAAAGCATAATCGCAAGTGAAACATCAAGCAATCAAATGAGCCTACACCTGGTCATTAAAAATATGAGAAAACTTGCTCTGGAGTAAATTGTTTTATTTTGATTTTAAAGGATAAAATAAGTGCAAAACATAGGCTTGACTCAACTCGCTTGTTTAATGCTTACAAATACAAAAAATTCCCGTTCACAAAATTTCAAGAGACATCCATAGAAGAAAATATTACAACAAGACTCTGAATGCATTCGGAGTTCAATGATGGGGCGCCACGTCTTAAGTGGGTTCTACCGTTTTTAACAATGACCAATGCCAGTATATTGCGGTGGGGCCCACTTGACATGTGGTGCCCCACCATTGGACTCCGAATGCAAATTGCGTTAGAAGTCCCGATGTAATATTTTCTCCATCCATAGAGGGGGTGCTCCACTACTCATCATCATCATTAGGTTTATCCCCACTATTAGTGTGGGCTTTATAAATGCATTTGTTCTTGTTGTGTGTTTCAAAAAGAGTTAAACATACTCCATCCAATTTTTTCCACAAAACTACCCATGTTATATCATTGACCTTATGATGTTCCTTTTGAATCCTAATATACAACTAAAACCATGATTTCACATGTTTCAAAAAATTATTTCAGTTACCAACTGTTCATTTGCTTCTATGGTATAATGTAGTATGTTACATATTGTATTATCATTTCCCAAGTATTATCATTATGCAAATCAAAATTTAAGGATAGCCCAAGTAAAGGATTATTTGTGTTTCCAATTCTTTCATAACATATGAAATATGCTACTTTTATGAAAACTGAAAAAAAAATACAGAAAAATACAAAGTGAAAACAAAATAGCCATGACTACATGTATTTACTCTTCTTGTGAATACAAAAATATTTTGAGATTCTTTGGTCAAGTCCCATATAACAGCCTTAACATTGTTTATAGGGGTGTAAACAAGCTCGGCTTGTGTTCGGCTAGTTAAAAAATATCATTGTTCATGTTTGACTCATTTATATATTGAGCGCAAAAAATGTATTTATTTTCGGCTCATTTGGTTAGCACGTCGAAGTTGTTTGTGAAAAACGAGCTGTTTTGACAACTCTAGTCACGCTCATGCAGTTGTAGGATTTTAAGGATGTGTGAGATTTAAATCTTATTATTTATATTAAAATATTTATATAAATAGAATTTAATATATTTTTATTCTACTTTTTTTAATTAATAATTTTAATTGACTATAAATCTTTGTAGCGTTATAATCAATTAAATTATTTAAAAATAATACTCATCAATTATATCAATTATATATATATATATATAGACCTAAGAAAACTGGGGCTTATTGTATAAAAAATGATCTTAATTTATTAGAACTAAACGATAATATGACACTAAATAGGATGCAATGGAGAAAAAGGATTCATGTAGCCGACCCCACGTAGTGGGATTATGTTGTTGTTGTTGTTGTTGTTGTTGTTGTGTTCTATTTGTTTGTTTAACAAAAAAATCAAACACAAACTACTTAACGAGTCAAATACAAGTTGTTTGCGAACAACGAGCTATTTTGACAGCCCTAATTGTTTAAAAGTAAACCCGGAGAAACATAAACATTAACACTGCAAAAACAGCCTAAGAGAAGGTTGCAATGCAACAAAATATTAATAGGAAGTCATACCCGAAACCTCGTTGCACCCTAAGCATGCAGTAACAGGCCAGCTAGAAGCATGCATTGGAATGAACGATTTAGAAGATAGTGAAATTAAGATTGAGCCGTTCAGGATGAAGGAATTACCAGAATAGCACTCTTCCCTTCTGCATGCCATTCCTCAGCATCTTCAGCAGTAAACACTACCTGGCCAACTGCAGCACCAGGTGATGCAGGCAAGCCAGTGGCAATGACTTTGTCCTTGTATGCGGATGGATTCTCAAACTGCAAGAACAAAAAATGAGGAAAAGCAATATTTTCATGATGCAACAGGGAAGAAGGAAATTATAACTCCATAAGGAGTTGATGGAATGGTTTCCTTCTTGTCAGTGTACCTGTGGATGGAGAAGTTGGTCTAGATGCCCTGGTTCTACCATCTTGATAGCAGAGTCAGTATCAACAAGGCCTTCCCTAACCATATCCACGGCAATTTTCACAGCACCTTTGCCAGTGCGCTTCCCTGTTCGACACTGCAGCATCCACAGCCTATTTTCTTGAACGGTGAATTCAATGTCCTGCAATCGTGTGAGAGTAAAGAAGTTAGTTTACCTTTCCATTACTTATTTTTTAACATTTTTTTTTCCTGGATGAAAACGCATTCCAAAGTGTAAAAGTAACAGCAGAGCTTCACATGTTAGGGGATAATAAAATTGATCTGCTGTACACAACAAATTTTTTACCATCATATCTTTATAGTGCTTCTCTAGAATGCTGCAATTCTCTACAAGTTCATTGTAGGCTTCTGGCAAGCGGAGTTTCATGGCGTCCAAATCCTCTGGTGTCCTAATTCCAGCAACTACATCTTCTCCCTGTTACAAGCCCACAATTTTCCAATAGTAAATAAAACACCCCTGCAGGAGATGCAGAAATATATAGAATTTAATTAAGAAAAAACAACTACAACGACAAGAGAACTTAGATGTGATGCATAGAAGTAGGAGTTATATAACTTAGCTTTAAGAACTTGAAATATCTAATTTATACTTTGGAGAACAGTGATTAAGTATCCATCCTGGAGACCACAAGTTCAATTCATAAACCTCCAAATGTAAAGGTAAGGTTTACATTAGTGGGGAGCTTCATGGATTGGGTACATCATAGCCTTTTTTACTTTGACGACTTCAATCTCAAATACCCCTTGAATCCCAACTGTAGCTAAAGCACTTATGATAATCTTCTCGTTGCATAAACAATTTTATATTGCATACTATTAGAAGATATTACAAGATTTTTCTATTTATTATCTTGTCTTGTTATTTCTTTTATATGTACTTCCTAGTTTACACCCGTTCTTTTTATCTTTTGGATGTTATTAGGAAAGATTTGTGTATTATATCTTTTCTTTCCTATACTCTTGTAGCATGTATTTATGACATTTTTGCTGCTCAATAAGATAATTTCACTCTATTCTCAAATCTAATATGGTATCAAAGCCATGATTCTAACCCTAGCTGTCGTCAGGATTCTTCCCTAGCTGTCGGTCACCTGCAGGCCTTTCCCTGCAAGGATTCCGCCACTGGCCGCCTGCATTCGGCCTCCAGCCAGCTCTCCCCCACTGAATCTCCCTCTAGGGGCCCGGATCTACCTCCAGCCTTCGGATCTTCCTCTAGCTAGCCGGTTTTCTCTACAGGCAACCTGATCTTCCTCGAGAAGAACCTTCCAACTATCGGACCTTCCTCCAGCAGGCCTGGTCTCCCTCCGGGGTTGCCGAAACTCCTCCCTGAGGCCATATCTATCCCTTGCATGAACCACCGTAGTTGATTCTTAGTTATACAGCCGGAGCCTTCCTATGTCTCGGCAACTCAACGTCACCTTTGGCTCAATCAAAATCATGGCAGACTACTCAACCACTGAGCTTCCTTCCGACGGTGTACTTGAGTCCACTGGAGGATCAACACCAACTTCAATCCTCCACAAACCGGAGGCCGAAAAACCACATGAACTTCTTGATCACTACCCATAAACTTAAAGACTCTAATTTTCTCCAATGGTCTCAAGTCGTGTCATTGTTCATCAAAGAGCGCGGAAAGTTCATCTATCTCACAGGGATGATTCTTGAACCTCAAAAAACTGACCCAACGTATGGAGCGTGAGAAGTGCAGAATTCCATAGTCATGTCTTGGCTAATCAATTCCATGGAGACTAAGATTGATCATTCGTAGTTGTTTCTTCCGCCTGCAAGTGCACTGTGGACGGCAGTTCGGGATACCTACTCGGACGTAGGAAACTCGGGCCAACTTTATGAGATTTCTAACAAGATTTACGAGGCAAAACAAGGATCAAGGACTGTGACCCAATACTACAATGACTTGGTGGACTTATCGATGGAATGCAATCTCTACTGCGACTACACGTGAGACCCTCTGGTTGATCTTTGCATCTACCAGAAAATTGTGGAAAAGGATCGTGTTTCAATTCTTGGCAAGTCTAATCAAGGATCTCGACGAAGTCCGAGGTCGTATTCTTGGTTCGGATCCCCTTCCTTCAACTCGTGTTGCATTCACCGAGGTGTGCCGCAAAGTAAGTCAGAGACTTGTCATGCTCAGCACTACCACTCCTTGAGCCAAATGTTCGCCTTGGTCTCTAATAGTGCTCGACCCTCCACGTCATCATGGGCAAATCACTCTACTTGTGGTTACCGTCACAAACCCAATCATACTCGTGACAAGTCTTGGATACTTCACAGGAAACCGGCAAATAAACCTTCAGTCAAATCCTCCGCTGCTAAGGGTCTCGCTATGATCTCAGAAGCCATGACAGTACAGCCAGCTCCCACTCATAACATCCCAGAACCACCTGACTCTATTAAGAGTCAGATGGAGCACTTGATCAAACTACTTGGATCTAGTCAATTCTCTTCCGGTCTGTCTACCTCCCAAGTTTATCAAGGTAAAATTTCGATGATAGTCACTGTTTTTTATTCTAATCCGTGGATTTTTTTTTATTCAGGTGCTATGGACCATATGATTGAATGTTCTCAAGCTTTGTCGACATATTCGCCGTGCTTTGGGTGAGATGCCATTAAAATTGTTGACGGCTCCCGTAGTTTCATTGTTGGTAAAGGGTCTGTTGTTCTACCAGCAAACCTAACTTTAGAATCTGTGTTTCATGTGTCTTCTTTAAAGTGTAACCTATTATCAATCAGTAAGTTGAAATATGACATTGATTGTGTTGTTCATTTTTCTCCTGATGTTTGTGTCTTTCAGGATCGTCGTTCAGGGAGGATGATTGGAATTGCAAAGTGGATAAACGTACTTTATTTTTTTCAAGGGAAAAGTGGGGTTGATGAGGTCACTCAATCCAGGAGTTTTACTCTTTCCCAGTCCACTGAATGTCCTCTTATGCTTTTACACTGTCCTTTGAGTCACCATAGTTTTCAATATTTAAAATAGTTGTATCATTTGATGTTTCTAATAAAAATTTAACTAGTTTCAAATGTGAGATTTGTCAGTTAATTAAACATCATCTAGTTCTACATTCACCACACTGTTACCCTTCTTTTGTTCCTTTTTCACTAATTCATGGTGACTTGTAAGACCCACTCAAATGTCTAGCTACACTAATAAATGACGGTTCCTTTCCTTAATTGATGATCACACCCGAATGATATGAGTCTATATTTTAAAAGACAAATCTGAAGCTATCACCTTAAAAAAATTTCATTCCTTCATTTTGATCCAATTCAAAACATCAATTCAAGTCCTTCGAATTGACAACGACCGTGAATTTTTTTTTTAATTTTATATTAGGGGATTTTTTGATAAGTGAGGACATTCTTTATCACAGCTCATACAGAAACATCTCAACAAAATAAGATAGCCGAATGAAAAAGTGGACACCTTCTTGATGTTGCTCGTTCCATTATACTTCAATCGAATGTCCCGAAACGGTTTTGGAATGATGTCATACTTACCGACACATATATCATCAATAGAGTCCCCACAAAAATTCTTAAGTTTCGGACCTCGTTAGCAGTTTTGAGATCTTGTTTTCCTACCAATTGGCTCTCCACTTTAGACTCCAAATATTTGGGTGCATAACATTTGTTCGGAACACTGCCCCAACTCGTATGAAATTTCATCCTGATCAATCAAATGTATCTTCATCGGATATTTTGTCACTCAAAGAGGCTTTTGATGTCTTGATCGTATCACAAACAAACTCTATGTGAGTGTCGATGGCTCCTTCTTTGAAAGTGTTCCCTACTTCCCCAACACTGCCTCAAGTGAGGGGGAGCTAGATTTTTTTTCTATGCTACTTCTTTTCTGACTGTGTTGAATATGCCACTTACTCCTCTAGTCACTGTTCCTGAGGAACCATCTGTCCCTCTTAATCCACCATCCATCAAACCAACATTTCTTCCACCCACTCTTTGTGTCTATACTTGGCGCATCAAAACTTCGGTTGAAACCAGTCACAATACCCCTACACTTAAGCCCGCTGCCTCTTTACTAGACTTAGAATCTGCCCGGCCAACATCCCCGACACTACACTTGCGAAGATTACTCCTGCTTCGAATGAGGAGGTGAGTTCTATCATTGAGGTGCAGAATCAAGCTTGTTCTCTTTATTCCACGGCAAAATATATATCATTCCACCGCTTATCACCAACCTACAAACCATTTGTCACTTCTTTGACGGATCCATCTACTATTGAGGAAACGTTGGCGAACCCTTCCTGGAAGGTTGCTGTAATGGATGAGATGAATGTCCTTCGTCTAAATCATACATAGGATGTTGTTGATCTTCCTCGAGAAAAGAAAGTAGTTGATTGTCGGTGAATCTTCAACACTAAATTTAACTCCGATGGAACCTATGAACGCAATAAAGTGTGATTGATCTCCATATGTTACTCACAAACCTATGAAGTTGACTATGAGGATACATTTTCTCCAGTTGCAAAACTGAATATCATTTCAAGTCCTGTTATCCCTTGGTATGAATTTGGATTGGCTCTTACTCCAACTAAATGTCAATAATGTTTTCCTTAACGACGATCTCACAAACGAGGTGTACATGTCTCTACCTCCAAGCTTTGACTCTACTTCTTAGTGAGGACAAGTGTGTTGACTGAGGAAGTCTCTCTACATATTGAAGCAATCCCCTCAAGCTTAGTTAGGCAATTTCCCGTAGGTGGTAGTGGGACATGGGTTCTCTCAGGCCCAATCATATCATATTCTCTTCTTTAGGTATTCTTCTAGTGGTCAAATTGTCATCCTTATAGTCTATGTCGACAATGTTGTGCTCACAGGTAATGAAATACTAGTCTTATAATCTCTTAAAGGCATCCTCGCCAAATCCTTTGGAATAAATGACTTGAGGTCTCTTCGATACTTCTTAAGAATGGAAGTTGCCCGGTCATGTTGGGGCATTTGCCTTTCCCAGCGTAAATATGTGTGGACCTATTGACAGAGACCAACATTCTACTTTACAAATCAGTAAATGTTCCAATAGACCCCAATAAGAAATTGGCTAATGTTTCCAATGTTGTTCTTGTGAACAAGACACACAACCAACACCTTGTGATGAAACTCATTTATCTCGTTCATATGAACCTCGATATTTGTCATGCGGTAGATATTGTAAGTCAGTTCATGCATGACCCCTATGAGCACCATCTCACAAATATCCACAAGATTTTTCATTATTTAAAATGCACACCGGGCTTAGACTTGTTATTCTCGCACCACTCTTCTCGTTCTATTGCAGTTTATATTGACATTGATTGAGTCGGGTCCATCCATGATCGGCTCTCTATCTCGGGGTATTGCTCGTTCGTGTGGAGAAACTTTGTCACCTAGAAAAGCAAGAAACAGTTGGTGGTTGCCCAGAGCAGTATAGAAGCCTATTTTCGCTTCATGTTCTTGGAAATCTGTGAAGTTCTCTAGATACGCATCATATTCCATGAATTACGTATGTTGGACTCTATTCCTTTACAAATGTTTTGTGATAATAAAGCTGCAATTAGCATCACTCATAATCTATTTCAACATAATCACACCAAGCATGTAGAAATTGACCATTACGTCATCAAGGAGAAGCTAGATTCTGAGAAAATTGTTTTTTCATTTGGCTCATCCAGTGGTCAACTCGCAGATATCCTAACAAATAACCTTTTTCGGCAGTTATTTGACAACTTCAAATCCAAGTTGAGCATGATTAACATCTATGCTTCAACTTAAGGGGGTATTAATTAGAAGATATCAGAAGATTTTATTAGAAGATATTAGAAGATTTTTCTATTTATTATGTTGTCTTTTTTGTTATTTCTTTTTATATGCATTTCCTATTTTATGTCTTTCTTTTTTATTTGGGTGTTATTAAGAAAGATTTTGGTATGATATCTTTCATTTCCTATACCCTTGTATCATGTATTTATACCCTTTTACTGCTCAATAACATAATTTCTCTCTAATCTCAAATCTAACACATACAATCCCTCAATCATTCTGAAGTTTGCTACTTTTATTACATGGTGCATAACTTAGCAGACCACTGGACATACTACAACGATCACACCAGCAGAAATATGTTTTCTTTTCATTATTAGTAGCTATAAAAAAGCTCATTAACTATCAAAAGCTAGAATCGTTTAAGAAATATATCATTTATATGAACTTTAAATACTACATGCATGTGCTATCAGACACGTAGGTATTTCCGATTCTTGTTAACAGTTGCTGCATTTCCTATCATCTTCCAACACAAAAATAATGGCTCCGAATCTCTTCCAGTGACAAAAGAAAACTTCGAAGGTAAATCCCTTTATTTAAAATGCATCTTTAAGAAAAAAGTATATACAGGTAAAAATAGCACCAAACCTGAGCATTAATGAGAAACTCTCCATAAAGCTTATTCTCCCCAGTGCTTGGATTCCTTGTGAAAAGCACACCAGTACCAGAAGTGTTGCCCATGTTGCCAAACACCATGCATTGGATATTCACAGCAGTTCCTTTCAACCCTTTGATATTGTTAATGCTCCGATACTTGACTGCTCTTGGACTGTCCCATGAATTAAACACCGCCAAAATCGCCAAATGCAGCTGCTTTTTTGGATCTGCAAACCAATGCCTGAAATCACACATCTTATTTTGGAAGAGCTTATGTCAAATCCCGCTTAAATCGGAACCAAAAAGGATTTCTAAGCGCATTAAAAAAAAAAACATCAAAAGTGAAAGGGTTTCATTTTCTACAGGTTTTAGGGTTGGATCTAAAGATACATATGCTAACATCTACGTGTACCTGCAGGGAAATCCTCTCCTTTGATCTCGACATAAACTTTCTTGTATTCAGAAACCAATTCCTTGAGATCGGAGGCGGAGAGCTGTGTGTCGAGGCTCACTCCTTTCGACGCCTTCAGTGCTTCAAGCTTCTCTTCAAATCGTGAATGGGGAATGTCCATCACCTTCATCATCCACACATAAGTGTTTCATGAGCCTCTTTTGATTTGCTTAGGAAAATAATAAAGAAGGATGCAATGTAATTTAAATGCAGGGATAATTACCTACCGACCATTCGAAACAATTATATTTACAAATTACCCATCTGGATGATTTTTTGTAATGAAGAAAAATATATTAATCATAAGAAAATATATATTAGTTTTTTTTTTTTTTTACTTGATTTAAAGTAAAATAATTTTTTTTTTCTTTTTAATGGCCGATAAGCATTTAAATCCAATACATTGAGATTCTTTAATTTGTTTTCAATCATTACGCTACAAATTAAAGATGTGGAGTAGTCGACGTAAGGCCGCAGTGACAAACAATAGTTCATGGGCAATGATTGTTGGAGGGTGGGCGGCTGGTAGTGATGATGACTTGTGACAACCGACTGCAGCAGGCTAATAGCATGCATCAATTTGTGAGATATGTTTGAAAAATAGTTTTAAGAGTTTTCAATTAAATAAATATAAACAAAATAATAAATTACATTTCTATTTCATCCAACATAGATCTTAACTTTTCTAAACCCCACAAATGAATCAAACCCAAACTGAAAATTAATAAAAAAAAAAAACAATAATAAGATTGTAAGGATAGCATTAACACCACATAAATTTAAATAAAAAGCAAAACTGAAAGAGCGAGCGCAACACGGACCACATTCCCAAACATGTCAAGGAAGCGTCGGTAGGAGTCGTACGCAAATCGGGGGTCGCTTTTGCGAGCCAGCCCCTCCACCACTTCATCATTCAATCCCAAGTTCAGCACCGTATCCATCATCCCGGGCATCGATATCTATTTCATTCCAAATCCGTTTAAAAAAGAATATATAATAATCATAAGATTAAGAAATTAGAGAGATTAGGCAGGGGACATACAGCAGCACCGGATCGAACGGAGAGCAGAAGTGGATTAGAAGGATCTCCCAAGCTTCTCCCCACGTCCTCCTGAACATATTTCAATCCCTCCATTATCTCCTCCCAGAGCCCATCCGGAAGCTTCTTCCCTTTCTCTTCATATTCCTTACAGGCTTCAGTCGATACTGTCAGGCCTGGAGGAACTGACAGTCCTATGCTCGCCATCTCTGCCAAATTCGCGCCTTTGCCACCCAGCTGCACAACCACAACCCAAACATATTAATAATTGATACTTTGGTTTCCATTGCTGATCATCAGTAAGGTCTGAAAATGATCACCAAGGAGTTCATGTTTTTGTTCCCTTCGCTCTTTCCCTTGCCGAAGATGAACACTCTCTTGGAGGCCGCCATGGAAGGAGGGGGAATTGAGCTTGCAGAAAGCTGGAGGAAGGAATTAATATTATAATTAAGATGAGATGATTATGTATATATATGCATCCTGATTTGAGGAATTTTATGTGGCAATGAGCGTGGGTCTGAGTGTGTGATATAGAGCTGGCTGGTGTATAAGCTTATCTGCTTGGATCACTGACACGTGTCATTGCTTGTATTTTGATATGAATAATTCCATAAAAATTTTAGGTATGTGGTCATGTAGGTCAGGGATATATATGTGCCCTTGGGATAAGATATGAATGGCATGCAGCGGCTTAGATTTATTATTGAAGAGTGCCTTATAATAAAATTTATATTATTTGATTATTCAGTTTTATTATAGGAAAATAATGATTCTAAAGTTTCTATAAGTAGCTAAATAGTACACTTCTTATAAGGATGCATTTGTAAATGTTATTACTTAAAGTGCGTACATTTAGTGCCCATAAATATTTATTCAATAAAAATGATAAAATTTAGTTATTATGGATTTTTTAATGTTTTTAAAATATAAGAAAATATAAAGATTAATTTATAATTTTAATCTTGAGATTTTCAATCAAGATGATGAAGTGTATAGCTTTTCATCTGAATAATTAATTAAATTTTTTTTATTAATGAGGTACATATTGTTGAGTCCTTATATGTTAGAAAATCACATCTCAAGAGTTAGTTAGAGCGTAAGATAAGAGAGAGAATGTGATGTACAGTAATGAACGATCAACCATATTTTTCATTAGTAATTTTCTCATAAAATAATGTTCTACTTATAATGGAGGGAAAAAATTATATAAAGTTGCATGTTTGTCTCTACTTTTATGGAGTGTTACACAATTGTATATGTACTTTATATATAAAGGTCCATGACATGACTACTCTCTGACTCTGTCGGTCTTGACTTGAAAAGGCCCGTTTGTGTAGCTATGCTGAGTCGAGGCACTCGGTCAGTCTTCGATGGTCTTTCAGTCGGCAGGGTTGGCTTGATTGGTTAGATCAACTAATCAACTGATTTAATTTGGTTGTCGACCTTTGAGAAGCTCCTGTTGGTCGAACAATACTAGGCTATAGGACAAAATGTGAATCAACTTAACTCAATAGATATGCACTCTCCGACAAGAAGAACTGAATGGATGATTTAGATGAATGGTTACATTTTTGTCCATGATGATGAGCCTCTAGGGGGCTTGTGGAATGATGAATAATGATGAGGAGCTTAGCCTTTTCACAAGTTTGGACTCAATTCATCTAGACAACTTTTATCTTGCAGATACTAGCTCGGATGTCTACATTACTTTAGCATTGGCTTTAGATTTCGTTTGGACTATTATGTTTGGTTGAATAAACGGGCATCATGGTCTTATACTGGTGGGCCCTCTTTTGTTGCACTTTTTTGTCTCCTGGATAGTTAGATCACCTAGAAATTTATGCCAGCATATTCTCGATGCACACATCCTTTGAATTGCATAAGAAAATATCAAGGCTTGCCATGCGAAGGAAATAAAAATTTGAAATGTGTTAATAGTTTCTAAAATTTATGCATGCTTTATGCATATAACATAATTTTATTTTGTGATGGATAATGAGTCAACAACTCAACAAGCCTCTTTTAAGTATAAAATTGTTGTTTTGCACTATAATATAAATTTCTTAGATCAGAAATTTTTTTGGGATTGATGTTTTCTTTTATTTTTAGTTTTGTTTCTAAAAATATGTATTTTAATGTAATTTTTAGATATATGCTTTTTATTTTTAAAAATAAGTTAACATTTTTTTTTTTGTAAACTTTAGATCAAAACAATTGTTTTGAGCATTTCTTAAAAAAAATAATACTTTAATTAAATAGTTAAAAATATTTTACTTTAGATCAAATTATAAGTGAAAATAAAATAAAATTTAAAAATAAAAATGATGCCAAATAGCCTCTGAATTTCATTATTTTATTTTATTATCGATATATGATTTTCTTAAGTTTTTTTCGGTGGGGACGGCGGGAAGGCCGTTGCGGGTTAATTGGTTGATGAAGGATGAAAAAAAAAAGGGCTTCACGGGGCTAATTTTGTATTAAATCCAACCGCATTAAGTGAAAACACACATTTAATGTTGATTGAATGACGTAAAAACGAACTTGTCAAATATAACAAGGCTCTTTTTAATTAAATCTATCTATACTAATTAAAGCCATATGTCTATTTAATACTATGAATCTTGATGCTTCATATATGTATAACTCGCAGGGTCCAAGCTCGCGCTACCTAGTGATTTTCGTGAAGCCCAAAGAAAATAGTTGGTGGTTCCACACGTCATCCAATCTTTTCAAATATATATTCACCAACTATTTTCTTTGGGCTTCGTGAACATCACTAGGTAGCGCGAGCTTGGACCCTATAAGTTATATATATATATGAGTACCACCTCCATATAACGGAGAATTCGCCTGGAGTGGATTTGAACCTCTGACCAAAGGGGACTTACACCGTCGAAATGGATGCTCTACCAACCGACATGAGTATGAGACTCATATATATATATATGGTGACATACCACTTAATTCTTCTGAATTTACATATCTTACAATTAAATTTTACTTTTTACATTTAAATCACCGAATCTTTCCTATCTCCGAAAATTATCACTATTATAAGTTTTATAAAGTGAAATAAACCTTATTCTATTTTTTTGACAGAAATACCATTGCACTTCATAGTTACATTATAGTTATCATGATATGTGTAAGATTGTTGTAGGTCCTTGTCATTTTAAAAAAATATATTATTGGTGACACATGAAAATATTTTGTCTGAGGAATTACATCCCGAGATTACCCAAGCTAATTGTAAAAAATGAAGAAAATACTTTAATTTTTCTTCCATGAGTATAAATAATATGTTGTTTTTGTAATTATTGTTGTGAATTTTAGGGAGAAGAGAAACACAGAATCGACACAAAACCAGAAGAACACGGAGATTTAATGGGGTTCGGCAAATATGCATATATTCTCGGGATCAGAGCGGTGCCTACATCCTCGGGAGCAGAGCGGCGAATTCACCATTTCAGAGGAGTTACATACTCATAGTGTTACACATCTATTTATAGATAAAACCCACAGATAAATTTACAAAAATGCCCTCGCTCCCCCCAACCCACTAATTCAAGAGACATACATTTTCACACTAAGAGACACTCAAGAAACTTCAATAAATTTTATAATTTGCACTAGATGCCTTCCATGTTAAACCTTTCCAAGTAGTCGTAACTCTTTGTGCATATGTCCCTCTAGACAATTTTTCACATTGTTTCTAATAAATTAATCAAATCCAAATTACAGGGCGAAAGAAATTAGCTAAAAATTCAAATAAAAAAAGGATCGACGTTAAGAAAATTTGTATGTATATGGAACAAATTAAAAAAAAGGAGAGGGGTTTTAATGATATTACATGCCAGCTTCGAGGTCCCCGCCGGGACCAAAGCTTCAGGTGGTTCACATAAAAGCTCAAAGAGCGTAGGCTACCTGGAGAGAAGCACAGGGCATTAGTGATCAGACACCGTTGAAATTCGATCAAGAGCTTGGCGTTCATTCGAAGTATTTCTGTGAATTAAAAATGGTTCGTGGCCTATAGTAAATGTGGCAGTCGCTATCTGCTCGCCACATGGATTAATATGATGCACACATCACACAGGTGGTCTGATCAGGTTCTTATCTGAGATCGAGATTGGCTCGCACTGCGTGGCCGCTCAAACTTCATAATTAATTTTTAGATGAATTAAATTTTATTTTTCTATTCAGAAGATAAGGGGAAGTGATAGTATTTGAATTAATATTATGAAACCATCCGAATCATTTTTATTTGGCATGGATGGATCAATATTTTTCTTCCTCGGGAGGGCTACACATCATTGGAGCAATGTTTGTTGAATCGTAAATGGCAAAGTTTAATTTCATTCATCTATTGTTGGTTTATTTGAATTGAATGAAACGATCGAAAACAGTCTGGATTCTTGCCATTCGGTGTTAGAGCCATTCTTCATATCAGGCTTTCTTGTTCAAAGCCCTCCATTACAACAATAGCACATCAAAGTCTGCCAAGGGATTCACGGCATCAAGTGAGATCTGCAAGTTGTTTGGTCGGTTGTGCGGAACATATTGTTGGGGTCGTTAATTGGAACAATCCAGATTATCCATACAACAAAGTGAACATAGATGGCAGTTTCAAACAGAATTCAATGTTCTTTAATCGAAATTTCAAACTGTGAAGTTCAGCCTATTAATTGCTGTGAAACTAAAATGTTCTCGTATACATATGGAAACTGATTCATTGACATGCGCTAATGTGATGGATTACCTGTGGTATGGTGTTCATGTTTGGAGGAAGATTTCTATGCTTTTGCCTTCATTCAGCATTATTTGGTCTCGTTGCCAAATAGAAGCCAACAAACTGGATGGCTAAATTAGGTGCGGTTCCTAGAGAGATTCATTTTGGCTCGTCTCCGCCACTTGAAAGTTGTTGTTTTGCTACGGAGACAAGATTTCTTTCCCTGTTATTAGGAATGGCTTATACTTTTATTGCACGACTGACTAATAAAAGATCTTCTTTTCTGCCGCGCGCGTGTTTGTGTCAGTGTGCACGTGTTGCGTGTGAGTGCTGTGTGTGACTGAGTGATATATATATTCATGTGTCTTGCATGTGTTGGAGAATTCACAACCGTAAAATAATATATTTATGTCTTAGCATTATATGATAATTCAAGACATACATAAATAAAATAAAAGATAATAGAGAGGACAAGAGGGATTTTTATAGAAAATCAGAAATGTTAAAAACCCGAAAGGCCCAGTGCAGTTGAATTAGTTTCATTATATTGGTGTTACAAAACTTTACCAGCCTTTAACTAGGCGTAAGCAAAATTATAAGAGTAGGGGTAGACAATGTCACTTTCACTCTTAAGAGTGGTAGAATATGTTGTGAAAGTGGTGACGGCCCATCTATTATGAAGGAAGACAACGAACAAAGTTTGAGCACCAAAAAAACTCGATGCCAGTGTAGTTGATAGCCACGATGGTCTGGTCGCGCCGACAATGATTGTTAGGCAACAAAGATCTGATGAAGACAGTGGTTCGGTTGAAGTGACAGCAGTCCATTAATGGCAACAACTTAATGAAGATGGCTAGGCAGCTATAGTAGGCAACAACAACGGTCATACAGTGGTGGTCTGGTGACAACGATGAACAAGCTGTGGTGGTTCGGCGGCGGCGGCGGTCAAACAACGGTGACTGGGCAACATTGACTGATAGAGGTGGCTCGATTATGGTGGCCAGACAAAGATTGTCTGGCTACATTGATGATCAGATGGTGGTGGCTCGGTAACAACAATAGTAATTTGACGGTAGCAGGGGGTCAAACGACTCTGGTCAGGTAACGGTGGTCCGACGACTGCAACTCGAAAGTGGTGGTTTGGCAACGATGACAACGAGATGGTGATGGTCTAATGGTGGCAACAATCAAATGACGGTGGTCGAGCAACGGTGGTCCAGCATTGGCGGTAGTTGGATGATGGTGGCAACGACTGGACGATTATGGTATGGCGAATGCAGCTCGACGACTATGGTCGGACAATGACACTGGTGGCCCGGTGGTGGCGGAGCTCGGGACTATTAATAGATTTTGTGAGTGATATGCTCTATGAGTACTTTATGAATCTTGACCACTCCTTGTGTTTTATGAGCATTTAAGTGGTTTAATGATGTCCGGATTGAGTTTCATTGGACTCGTTGGATTTGGCATGTTCAGACACTCGACTGTAAATTTCTTAAATTTGGAGATCATTAGATCCCAAAATATATTCAGAACTTCAATCTATATTTTAAATGTATGAACTGGACTCATTGGGACTCGGATGAGATCATCTTTTATGTTACTTGGTTCGTCAGAACCATTCTCTTAATCAAATTTCCGGAGCTGGTTTCTTCGAACTAACAAGTAACGGGCTTATTCCTACACTGCCAGTGCACATCCTTTTCCAATAGAAATTGCGACGGAAGCCGCGCGATTATAGTGTAATGGGCATAATTGAGCTCACCAGTCTTGCTTTCGCTTTCCCCCTTCCTCACAGAACCCTAATCCTTCCGTTCCGCGCCAGCTCAAACAGGGCTAAAGGCGACTGCTTGACGCTCTTAAAGGCGACTGCTTTCCCATCGGCTTCTTCTACATATGCTGGAATCGATCGACGGTTTTTCTGCCTCCCTCGTAGCCGACGGATTGGCGTAGCCATGGCGTCGTCCGGCGCGTCTCATAAATCCGAAGACGAGTGGAGGACGATTCTTTCGCCGGAGCAGTTCCGGATTCTTCGCCTCAAGGGAACCGAGTAATTCATTTGTTTTTCTCTTAAATTTTTGTTTGCGCCGATCTGATTTTCATATTCTGGATCTGTTTGTTGTATTGATTTGTGATGTTTGGAGATAAATTTCCGGATAATAGCAGCAGCAATAACAACAACAAGCCTTTTTATCCCACAAAGTGCGGCTACATAAATCTTTTTTCTTCATTGTGTCCTCTTATCGTATTTTTCTTTTAATTCCAATAAATTAAGATTATTTTTTATACAACATGTCTAAATTTTTTAGGTCTACCTCTACATTTCTTTACATAAATCGAATCTAAAACATCTACTCTTATAACCTGATCCTGACCAAACCATTTAAGATGACTCTCTCTAATCTTATCTGGAGCTACACCAACCCTTTCACAGATACATTAGTTTCACAATTTTATTTTATGACTTTGAATGTTGGCCGATAAAAGAGAAGCATAAAATTAAGTTGAGTATTGCTGAGATGAGAATGCTTAGATGGAGGAGTAAGCTGACTAATCTTATCATTCATCTGGATAATAGGGTCCATTAAAATAAATGTAGCTAGAAAATTAGGATTATTGACACAGAATGATTGGTTTAAAGATGGCTAATTTATGTTTTGATTGATTTAGTCTTCTGCATGGTATGTAGGATGGTTCAAGAACCAAATAAACCTAAAACTTGTTGCTTTGTAAGATAAAAGAAATCCCATTTGTTTGCATTTAATTGATTTATGTGCATGTCTTTACTATTATTTATCAACAGTTCTTTAGCATATTCAAAAATGTAATTGATGGAATGAAATTAAATTCAAACTTTATCTCCGTGGCTCAATTCTGTATTGATCACTACATTAACTCTATCCAATCTCCCCCAATCGCCCTTCTCTTCTCACTGTGCTTTTCTTCTCAAACCAAAACTCTTCGGAGCATGCAAATTGAGAACAAGTATATGCCAAACAAAGAGAAAAGGAGAAAGTGGGAGCTACCAGAGAAAAACCATTTGGAAGCAAGGCATGAGCAATTGGATTTCACCTTCAAACGCTAAGACTAAAGCCTAATCATTGTTTTTAGGAATATTTACTGATTTAACATAAATACGACTTAATTCTTATGTATTTACATTTCTAACACCAAGTTTTCAATTTTTACATATATGTTATCTTATCTACCAAAACAACAAACCTTTATCCCAATAAGTGGAGTCGGTTACATGAATCGTTTGCTTCCATTGCATCCCAAATAAGTGTATTCAGTTTTTAGTAGTATGTATGTAAGTCCCCCATTTTTTACAAACAAAAACAAAAATAGTTCCAAATAAGCCCCAAGTACATTTTCTAAAAACATAATTTTATTTAAAATAATGTTTGATAGTTGAGTTTTTCTTAACCACGAAAGTGTTACGATAAGAAAATCAAGCTATTATGTGTGTTATTTTCAGTTATCATGAAATGTAATTTCTTTTCAATTAATGCATTGTTATTGCCTTTCTATCTTTTCTAGCGGCTCATGTAATTTCTTCATTTACACCTCTCTTCCAACATTGTGTAATTCCTTACTGCTGCATTTTCTACCCTTAAATTTCATTTCTCATTACCTTATTTTCAACTATTGCTGCTACTGCATTGCTTCTTACATGATCATTTCTCAATCATTCATTCATAATTTACTACAAATCCATTATCATTTTGCAACGCAACTTAAACTTTTACCATTTAACATTTGAAAGCTGGAAAACACTAATTTCACATCTATTGTCTCTTTATAATTGCAATGGAGACAGAAACTTCCAACTACGGCATTTGTATCTCGACTAATATTAACAAAGATAATACTAATTCTGGAATAAAACATGTAAATCCATGTTAAAATTTTAACACAGCCTGAAGCTTCTATACAGGTATCCAGGCATTGGTAAATATGACAAATTCTTCGAGGAAGGCATCTATGAATGTGCTGGCTGCGGGACTCCTCTTTACAAATCTACCACAAAGTTCAATTCTGGCTGTGGCTGGCCTGCTTTCTATGAGGGGCTTCCCGGCGCCATTAACCGATCTGTCTGCTCATTTTTCTTTTCTATTAATTGTTAGGAAGATTTACATACATACCACTTAATTCTTGAGTATTTAAATTTTTACAAAGATGCGACATTATGCATGAAATAACGTATTTCACTTTTTAAAAGTTGAAAGAAATGAAAGATTTGCAAGAAAAGTAGAGTTTAGGTGTTAGATATATAAATACATAAGAATTGGGTGTTATGTATGCAAATGCCCGTAATTATTATATTATACACAAATTTTTGTTGTTTGGGTGCGGAATGAAGTATATAGTGGCTGTCATGCTTTCAGGTGGATGCTGATGGAGTGAGAGTAGAGATAACCTGTGCTGCTTGTGGCGGCCATCTTGGTCATGTTTTCAAAGGCGAGGGATTCAATACCCCAACTGATGAGAGGCACTGTGTAAATAGCATTTCCCTCAAATTCTCGCCACCTCGTTGAAATATATATTGATGGATCATATGAAATATTTGTGTTCCATTACTTGAGGGATTAATGAAAATTTTATTTATTTCATATAATCAGCTTGTAGAGTAAAGTGTTTGGACATTTTGATTTTCTATGATTTTTCAGTGGACAACAAATGTAGCCGAATCTGATGGGGAACAATTTTTTTTCAGCAGCCTTGCTGAGTCCTGACTAATTAGCTTCTTAATAAAGCATACTATTATATAGATTCTATTGTAAATAAAAGGAATACATAGATAAAATTAGAGGCAATTACACACAGACCACCCAGATTTTGCTATTTACAGAACAACCATCCTGTTTCATCTATTTTTTGAATTCTCACCCAAATATCAAAATTCATGGTAAAATCCCAACCCCACATTTTTCATTTTTATCAAATTTTCAATAGTTTGATCATGGTCTGTATGTAATTGTCAAATATAAAGTTAAGAAAACATTACTTTATAATGATATTGAAATCTTTTAGGATACAGCTAGAGACATTTAAAACTAATAATACTGGCAAGTAATAAGAATGAATGGTCTGCATAAAACAAGAATTCACATGAACAATATTGAAAAAAAATGGCTCTGGACATACGATACATCATCTATCTAATCCACGCCCTTTTCATTCATGCCTTCACTAACTATCCTCTGAAGACTTTAACTTCTTACTCCTCGATGAATTGTTTCTAGGAACCATGTCTTCCATTATCTTTGGAATTGTGAAGGAAAAATTAGCTCCAGAAAATCTTCCTCTGTATTCCGGATTTGCATGAAGAAATTTCTCAACCTCCACACTGCTCCTCACCCTCTTCCCATTGGGCATTAAGTAATTTGCATCCAACTTTGACAAATCCTTCCTCATCATAAGCATTCTCGTTATGCCGGGTGGAGGCTTCGGAAGGTTCGGCTTATCGATGACCCACAGCCGACTCGTATTGTATTCTATATCAGCAGGATCATCGCAGGTAGAGTTTGATCGTTTCTCGCAACGCCATGGATCTTCTATGAAGGTCTCCCTGATGGTCTCGTATTCTTCTTTGGTAGGGATGAGCGTCCACTTGAAGCATTTCTCACACTGTACTGCAAATCCTCCAATAGAGTCTTTGGAAGCGTTAGATTTCTGCGGAAGAGGGGCATCAATTTGGTTTTCAACAATTTCTAATAGCATGACTTTCAGATACACCTTACGACACCAATGCAACTTTAAAGACCAACCAAAATACAATAAACCTCAAATTATGGGAAACGCACTACATAAAAAACGTTAATTAACTGATAAAATAATAACATTTATCACTCTATTCCTATGAATACATCTATACACCCACCAGAGTTATGCCATTAACCGCAAGTGTCATAAATTTAACAGAAATACTGGCAAATTTTGATAGACAAAACAGATAAACGATCCGAAAAACACTCAGACTCGCTCTCTTACTTTGCAAAAACGATCGCACACTAAGTCCTAAGTTTATGATTGAGCAGAGAGGAAGCTATCATCCATCTAAGATTAAGGGGAGGGTTGGGGAGTTATAGTCATTCCACTACTAAGAATTATAACAAGTCTTATCTTGAAAGGCCATAATTTTTAAAGATTTTTTCTATGGTTTATTAAGTAATTTATTTATTTTTCATGATGTGTGTGCAATGCAGATGTTATATACGTATGCAGTATACCTTTAAAGTCACAACAATCAAAATAGGTTCTCTCTTGGAAGAACTCCGCCAAGAGATATCACAAGAATTTTGGTAATCAAGTGATAAACAAGAGAGGCAGAGATATGTAGAATTTTTGTGGCGGGAAAGTAGCAAATAATTTAGGAAAACCGAGGATCTACCATCTATGGTCTTCCTCTTCTAAATGGCTCCCCTTTATTCTTTAATTGGTTCCTTGATTCAAAATCCAACTCTTCTAGCTCTTCTCTTCTTCTTTTCAACTAGCTTGGACAACCCATGATTATTTAATTTTTGCTACCCATTCAAACGCATTTATTTTCCTTTAAAAATCTTGTGTACTTTCACACTTCACAAAGTCTCCTTAATATAGCATGATTTATTTTTAGACTCCTCCTAAAGTCCTACAATATATTCAATGGAATTAGCCATTGCATCCCATAACAAGTTTGGCTCAACTAAATAATTCTATTCTCTCTAACAATCTTATTTTAAAAGATTAATAATTTCTCATATTTTAAATCCACCACCTCATCCTAGATTGATTTTCTTCTTTGATTATTTTATTTGTACTGCAAAAATATACATCCATAACTGTTGTTCTTATTTGATTTGGTCACTTATTATAATTTTGAACACTTCAAAAAACAAATCTTTGCAATTAAAAATGTTTATTTATGATTTTGTAGCCCTACTTTTATAATGTGTTCACTATTGCAATATCATATGCTATTATGAAATAAATATTGAGGAGAATCGTATCCCACTTCAATTTACGATGAAACTTGAATACAAATGGGGATATATTTATATAATTCAATTTATCAATTTTTTTTATGATTATAAGCAAACAAAATAATATTTCTCAACTTCCTAACAATCCTCATACTTACAAGCCTTACACTTAGATAATAATAATTTATTAAAGGAGAGACCAATCCTTATTATTTAACACCTAAAATGGTAATTTGACGGTAGATGAGCTGGTCAGGCCACAAAATAATTAAAAATTTGAAGGGGAGCAACCATGCATGTAAAGTGGAGAGAAAATGTGTTCAAGCCTTATGCAACCTCTAGTGTAGCTTGTCATACTCCCATTCAATTTATGCAAGTTTGCCATTTATGAGAACCTGCCTAGATCATGGTTTTTAATTTCATTTGCTCTAAAAAGTTAGAACTGAATTTAAAGAGAAGCCCTCTCTTCAGCCTCTTTGGAGTATCACTAAACTTGTTTGTTGCTTTGGCCCATCTTGAATATGCTCAAAATCAGCCAAAGCAATCTTTTTCTAGAGGTCCTTCATGTACTACATCCAAGTTCTCTAATATAAGCACAACCCAGCTTTGCAGTTCATCAAAATCAGCAAAAGAAGATCAAACAATTTTAATTTCTAGCATTGATTACAAAGCACATATTAATATAAGAATAACCTATTGAAAGTCATTGGTGGACAACCTGTCCATGAATTTGAGGGAGTCATATCTTACGGGTTGATCTTTCCACTTTTTCCTTTTAAATCTTTCCTTGCATGGATGCAACTATTCAAATTCTCCTTCTTGGTACACTCAAGATATTCATGTTGATCATTGTAGTCTTGGGACTTCCTCAAACACTCTTCCAAGTCTTAATGTATAACACTAATGCTCTCCAAGATGCCATTTGTCTTCTTTGTTTTCAATTCTTCCATCCCTCGGGTCTTAAAATAGAGATTTCAAGATCGAAAGATCTTTGATGCAAGAAATAAAGGAAAATCTCATATGTCAATTCAGATGTCAATCTATTAATTTGTTCAATCATAAACAAACTGGATGTATATGCTTGATGCTAGAAATTGTAACCTAACAACATATACACTACATAGTCTGGTTGACCCATCAATCTTCAAATGGAAGTTGGTGCTCCTAATTATCTTTAAGTTCACTAGGCTCCACAAGTGCCTTCAGAACTTAGGAATATGTTGCAAGTAACCAACCTTAAATGCTTCCGCATCTGCTGGAAGAATAGCTTGGCCGCTGCTCTAGTGTGGTTGTTTTCTATAGCAAATCAAGCAAACCATCACGTTAAGCCTGTCAAAAAATATAACAAAATAATTGTGCCCTCATGTTCTCGAGTAAAGCCTTCAATTGACTATATACAGATAATTTCAGAAGGCCAACTTAATCTGTTAAGTGGCATGAAAAGGCTCATTATTCAAGTTTTAAGTTAGCGTTCAACTAAAATTTTATTCATCGTAATAAAAAATTTTGGGCATGCAGCTATCAAGTATTTAGGTAATAATTAGCCGATACTTACTGCCTAAAGTTTATCCTTGCATATTCTTGGAACTGCATGCCCATCCCGAGATGTGGTCCTGTGGACTCTTCTAAGAAGTCTCTTGGAATGTAAATCAAGAACTTTCTAGTAAATTATCAATATGGTTAGCTCATCAATGGAGGGCTACATCAGGGCAAGTTCGCTTCTTTGCTATTCTTTAGGGGGTATTGAGATTCATTGACATCACCCTAGCATTGGTTCGAAATAAATCTCATAATTGTAAACTTTATAATGCTTGCTTATAAAATTTTATCTGTGCGTGCTACCAAAAGTGGCTTTTTAACATGAAGTAACACACTTCCTTGGTCAAAAACTTCTAAACTAAACAGGGTGGCAATTATTGCATCCCAATCCAATGACACCAATTTTTTCAAAACATCCATTCCTAAAATCCGTCAGATTATTCCTCCACAAACTTGCACTGCAAAAATGTCAAACCTATGGCATGGTCAACAACTTTGTTAGCAGCAAAATGAAAGCTTTTCCAAACCAAAAAAAAAAATAATGAAGGACATGCTTTAAAAGACAACTCTAAAAATTTTGAAGCATTTGGCCAAACCAACAGGCCATTATAGTTTTTCAAAGCTCTGCCAAAAAGGCATAGTTCATATTTTTGCTCTCATTTCAAATGCAAACCAGTATGATTTTATTTTTTTTTTAACGAGTATAGGAAAGATCCAATTAATTAAAATTAAATCTAATTCTGAAGTCAAGTTTGACCAAAAAAGTCGCCAAACCTAATTGATAAAAAAATTTAATGATAAAAAAACATACCAAAGATGGAGAATTTTTTTTTAAAAAAAAGAAATCATATTGTCAAAAAATTTATAAAGATCATATCTATGCTAAGAAGGCAATTGAAATATCCGGCAAATTAATGATAACAGAGAAGACTTTAAATAACAAGAAGTGTATTATAGGCTCTACATAAATAAACTCAGAGAACCCTCTTCACACTTCAATGCCCACCATAGTTCATTGTTCTTCATTGCATTATCCACAAAAGCCACTCAACCCCCAATTTGTTTACCTGAAAACCACATTGTCTTTTAGATCCATTTGCCTAGATCCATTTCTCCTATTGAGTTCATTTAAAAAACTCTACATTGCCAACAAAAACTATTTCGTTGGGTTTGCATTGCTTATTTGACCAAAATGAGTCAAGGAGAGTGAAGTATTGTTGGTCCTAAAGATAATTAAAAATTTTGCCAACTGTGGAATTAATGCAAACCACAAGCATCCAAAAATAAGAAATTCTAAATTGCCAACAAAGACTATTTCGTTGGGTTTGCATTGCTTATTTGACCAATATGAGTCAAGGAGAATGAAGTATTGTTGGTCCTAAAGAGAATTAAAAATTTTGCCAACTGTGGAATTAATGCAAACCACAAGCATCAAAAAATAAGAGCTAAATGTTGGGATTATAAAAATTGTATCTGATTGAGCATGATTTTTTACATGAACCATGGTGTTGAGGCACCTTCGAAGAACTAAACCAAATTCTATGACTTGCTTTGACATAATTGGCGCCCAAATGTGCTCAAATTCTCATTATTAATAACCAAAATGAACTATGAAGTAATATGTCAAGTTTGTAGAAACTTGAAATGACCTAATTAAGATTTTGAAGGGCTCAAACTGATCCAACCAAGTTGAACCAACCTGATCTTAACTTAGACCCAATTAGCCAATCTAAAATGGGTCATCATCGCCATTCACAAAAAAGCCATCAAGAATATGATATCCTCGTATTAATAATCAAAGATATTATCAATGTCTGACAGCCCTCTGACACCCAGACAATCCCAAGTTCAAGCCAGCCAAATTCACTAACCTAGGAAAGGGCACATGTAATCAACATTGACACAATTTTTTTTTTATAATCAACGACTTCAATCTCCTCCTTCCATTCAAGTTACTTGATTCCCGTAAATAGATTCAAATTCGATTCATTTATGATAATTATAGATAATTTCTAAGGCTCTAGAAACTGTTATAGACTTGCCAATCAACCACATCATGTACCTCATTGATAATGCCTAGTGCCACTCGTGGACATGGCCCTACTTGTTGACATTGTCATAATCGCCGCTCGTTGCACACATCTAAAACTACTTGCTGATGAAGTATCATTGCTCATTGGTGTGACATATTGTTGCTCATTTCTAACACCTCTTGATACTCACAGATGATGAGATGTTGTTGATTGCTAGCGCTTATGATACGGTACCACTTGTTTCTATTTAAAGCAATAATTAACAATTAGATGTCTCTTAAAGATGTCGTCAACCACGTGTCACTACTCGTGTGCATGCCACTTGACAACAGCATTATTAATGATTACATCATTTGAGTTCATGGTCAATTATGTCATAGCACACCTCTATCACAGTTCATACATGAGTCACATGTATGCATCCACCATTAATTATGCCCCCAGCATAGTCACTATCATCCAAATTTTCTTATGTGAGTTTCTCATATTGGGCAGGCATCAAGATTTTTACCTCCAAGCTTTTTCACCTAAAAATTCCTAGCTTTGTCATTAAGTGTACGCCTAAAATTCTAGAGCCATGACAAACAAAATTACCTCTCAGTCGTTGTTTATCAAAGTCTCTCTCGGCGCATAACAACACCTCAAAAGGCCAGAAGTTAGACGAATGAAAATAGAACTCAATAATCGAACCCTGAATAAACTTCTAAACAAGCCGTCTATAAAAAAAAAGGACCAAGAATCCGACATGCTCCACAGCGCTAACCTAAATAAAGATCTGTACAAATCAACCTAAATTAATAGAGGAAAGGGCTAAAATATATCCAAACATAGATCAGGTACAAACAGCATCCAGATAAGATTATGAAGCAACAATAACTCGAGCCGCGTCGAATGACCTAAAAATGGAGTAGAAAGGCTATGGGTTTAATAAAATCGCAACTACTTGTTACAGATTCAACCGAAAAAGGAATCATAAATAGAGAAGGAATGGAAGAAAGATGACAAAAATTTTGATAGGGTTTGCAGGAAGAGAAGTGATCGGATTATGCTTACATCCATGGAATTGATTTTGCGAGTTTCCCAACTCCGACGGCTTCGTATGTCGCTGATCTACGATTAGGGGTTTAGCAAACCACTTCAGGTGCGTCGTCATAAGAAATGGGCATGTGCATGCATAGCATTATTATCATTTTTTTACACTGAACTTTATTTTTTCATGTATATTTTTAAAGCATTAAAATGTTATATTTATAAATACGAAAGTTTAGATATGAGATATATAAATACATAATAATTGTATGCTATTTATACAAATTTCTCTATAAGAAATATATTAGCTACTTTATATCACAAAGAAAAATTTTTATTTAATTACTCTCATATTTTATCATGGAGCATTCATGTGAGTAATTAACAATCAATGCTGATTTGAAAAGAAAATTATATTAGATTCAAAGAAAAATAGATTAGATTCAAGATTAGATTCACCATCATCATCCCCACCCTCATACTGCTTCGGCTTCTTCCCTTCCGCAGTTTCGAACACAACACCGCTTTGATCTTTGTCATCATCTCCGATCTCAGATCGGTTACCTGGGTAACAATCTCTGCAGCAACCTGACGACACATCTCCTCCTCTCTAAAGTGAAAGTGGATGCACTGGATGTGCTAGAGGACGAGCAGACATCATAGGCTGGCGCTTAGGACCCCAATCAGTGGACCTTGCCCTTCTTCTTCACACTGACATGCTCCTTCCAGAGGTCGTACTTAAAAGGATTGTGAGATGTGCTCGAACCACAGGCCAACTTCTGAGATCCACTCTTCTTGAGCCTCATAAAGGCCTCCTGATATTTATTTTAATTTATACTTATTTATCTTGTGAAATACTTGGTCCCCCTGCGATCTGTTGTCCACCCATAACCGATCCAACTGTCGCTTGTGGACTCGCTCTTATAACTCTACAGCAATTGGCTCCTGTTCTTTCTCCAGTATCTGTCAATGTAATGGAATTGTTAGCATACATTTAATGTAAAATAAGATTTAATAGAAAAAAAAGTCTTACCAGCCTCCTCCTGTGCTCCGTATGTGGGAGGGCTCCACCTGTGAGTTTTGAGGCTCCCATGCCTCCTCCGTAATCAGAGCAGCGATTCAGCTTTGCCTGCTCGCTCTTTCTCTGATACTCAGGAGAGATCTAGGTCTTGATAAGTGCAGCAAACACATCAACACCCAGCCACAAAGGGTGCTCACGTGTGCGGCGTATATCACCGAACTAGTCTCGCAGACGATCGCTCATCTTTGCTCAAAGTTCCAGCAGATTTGTGCCTCCTCCTCGGGGAGTGTTCGGGGTTTACCTTAAACTCACCAAACTACGTAGCCTGAACTCTGATCGGGATCTCCTTCCAGAAAAAGTGCGAGTGGTCATACTGGCTTCAAATTATATCTCTGATGGAATGAAGGGTCTGTGTAAGGGAACTAAATCTGAAACCAACATGTAATTAGTTTCCTATTAAATTAATAAAAATATACAGCGCATTAATGTGGACATTACATTAAAACTTACGTGTTCCCCACTGTCTTGAGCTGATGACGGTTGCTCGTGGTGCTTGATCTCGATGATGCATTAATATTAACTGATGTTGATGATGTTGGTAGTGTCGTGGTCGTAGTTGGTACCTATGGTGGTTTCGTGGCCACAAGTGTTGGCGTTAGTGGTGTCGTGGCTGGTGGCAGTGGTGGTCTCGTGGGTAGTGGTGGTAGTGGTGTTGGAGTCGTGATTGGTAGAGGAATTGGTGTGGTAGGTGGGATTGGAGCCGGTTTCGATGTGTTGCCCTTTGTACCACCACGTCCATGGCCTCGTCAGCTTACAGATATTTGCGGAGCGACCCATCCCCCTACAAGGGGTATACCTCCCCTTTCTTCACAGCCTCGTCACTTTGCGTACTTCACAAAAGAGGAAACATCAAATACTCTTTATATCATATAAAATATCTTCTTTTAAGATATTATTTTCATGTGTGTAATCAATAGTGTAAGGGGTTGCGAGACAAATATGCTTAGTTTCATGATTGGCTTTACAACTAGAAACAAAATACAAAACAAATATGTCTATAAAAGGGTTGGAGTAGCTACAGTTGCACACAATATTAAAAAGAGATGGCTTAATGGATTTAACGATCTTCGACATACCTAACATCAATATGATGTTAAACGATCCAAGTTCTAAAAGAAATTCGATCCAAAATTAATTTTTAAGCGATTGTCGTTGTTTGTTTAGTAAATTCTGATTTACTAAATTAACTTATTAGTTGGTTTTAATGAAAGCTTCAACCTGTCTAAATCCCGTAAATCTTGTTTCTTACTTCTTTTGGTAAATCTCGGATTTAAGGCAAAATGACGAAAAAACATGATTTAAGAACCTATTGGATTGACATAGGCATTTTTTATCGTTTAGCAGGATTTAGCTTAAATCATACATAAATCTTGTACTAAACAACTTCTAATTAAACTCTTTCTCTATGGGTTGTTTGGTTGCAAGTAGGACTTAGTTTGAATAGGATTGAGAATATCCATTAAATCTTGTGAAACCAGATTTATGAAATCTTGAAGGGGTTAGAGACTGAAAACTGTTTGGTATATTAATCAGTAAATTCCAGTAAATCCGGAGAAAGTGTTTGATGATTTTAATATGATATACTAAATCCTTTATCCCACTAAGTCGGGTCGACCGCATCAATCCTTTTTCTCCATTGCGTCCTATTGAGAGTCATATTTTCATTAAATTCTAATAAATTATCATTTTTTATAGAATATGCCCAAGTCTTTGTAGGTGGTCTACCTCTGTCTTTCTTAACATAAGTCAAATCTAAAACATCTACTCTCCTAACTGGTTCATCAGATGATTGATATTTAATATGACCAAACAATCTAAGACGATTCTCTCTAAAGTTGTCTGTCATAAGAGCTACACTAACGATAACACAGGTGTACGCATTCTGCATTTTCTCTCTAATTGTAAAGTCACTCATCTATTGAAACATTCTCTTCTCGACATCACTTAACTTAATTTTGTTCTTGTCTTTTAAAGGCCAACATTATGAGTTATAGAGCATTGCACGTCTTACCACTAACAACAACAAGCTTTTAACCCACTAAGTGGGGTCAACTACATGAGTCCTTTTTCTCCATTGTGTCCTATAGAGTGTCATATTTTCATTTAATTCTAATAAATTAAAATCATTTTTTATACAATATGCCCAAGTTTTTCTAGATCTACATCTACATTTCTTAACATATATCGAATCTAAAACATTTACTCTCCTAATCGAATCATCAGATGGCTGACGTTTAATGTGACCAAATCATCTTTGTCAACTGCAGGAATTACACTAACCCTTTTACAGATATATTCGTTTCGCATTTTTTCTCTAAATATAAAGACACTCATCCACCTAAGCATTCTCATCTCGTCAAAGCTTAACTTAATTTTATGCTTCTCTTTTGAAGGCCAACATTCTGCGCCATAGAGCATTGCAGGTCTCACCACCATCTTATAAAATTTTCCTTTCAGCCTAAATTGTACTTTTCTATCACACAATAGACCCGAAGCATTCCTCCACTTCAACCAACCAAATTGAATTAAACTAATAACGTCCCCTTTTACATCACCATCACCTAGAACAATAGACCTGAGATATCTAAGGCGTTCGCACCTTAGATACATCCACAAGAAGGATATCAATAGCTAAAAGCATGGACCAAGTACATCCCTTATGTAAATGTTCAGTAAATGCATCCAATCATATTTGAGCATCGAAGCGGATGAGTCATTGGAGCTACGGTTGCTGGGGCGCTAGAGTCACTGGGAGTGGGAGGGGAGGGTTATGGCATGAGAAAGATGGAGAGATCGAGAGGGATCGGGAATTAGGGCAAGTTTGGGGGTGTAGTAAACTTCAGCAGTGTAAATGATTCTTTTCGACGGCTTACAAATGCCTCAACTGCGTAGGTTAGTAACATTAATATCGATGACATGGACCGTCGGTTACTTAACACTCTACCAACTGGCAGGTTTGTAAATAAGCAACAACATGTGAAAATCGGTTATTGTGTGCTTATAAACAACGATGAATATGTCAGTCACAATAAAAACTGTCAGAAACCAATCTACTGTTCATAAGTGACGGTATGTTATATTATTATGCCGCTAGAAATAACTCAACACCAAACCCATCATAAAACCGTCAGAAAATAAGACATTTTTACCGGGGAAAATTTAAGTCGTCAGTTTTGTCTTTGGTTATAGTTCTTTTCATATTGTAGTTGCCAGTCTTTTGAAATAACAATTAATTTTCATATTTATTTGTTATGAAGCTAATCTCATAATTTTGATAAACCCTTAACGTTCATTAATTAAGTCCATAAATAATCTTAATTCCACAAATATATATTTGTATATATACACACACCATCTTTAACTCTAGAGAAAAAGTTACCATTCTCATTCTACTTTGTTCCCGGTCAAACTCTTATATTGGAATTGATATTAGGTTAATATTGCTACTAGCCAATAAAAACTCACTAAACTTTGGGATTGATAAATTAATATAAGAGCATCATGAATGATTATATGAAGAATCATAATAAAGTCAATGTTATAATTAGCATCAAGTGAGTTACATAGATTTTTGCATGTATTATTACTCTAATGTTAATGCTATGAATTAGGAAGGGAAAAAAAGAGAAAAACAAAGAAAAACAGTAGGAATAGGTAAAAAGCTCACTCAGAGAGAAAAAAGTCACACATTCTTTATATCCTTGGTTATGTTATACCAGGGAGCTACTTAAGCTTTGAGTTTCTAAGAATCACATTTTGCTAATTAATGGTGACAATGGCTAGAGATTATATGTGCTCAAAAAACATATAATTCAATGTTACATGAAATATTTATAATCCCTACTTATGTCAAAGTCTACAAGCTTCTTCTAGCAAATTTAATCATCATGCCAACCTTTCATCATCTTCTTGATGTTGCTCTTAAATTGGCGGCACTCATAATTCTAAATTTACAATATCAAATGAAATGATCCACTCAAGAATAATAATACAAGATTGAGTATAAATTAAGTATTTGCTTAAAGTAATTGAAGAAGTATTTATTCATGTTCAATTCATCTTTAGGCAATTTATACTACAAAGAGATGTTTATATTTGCTATTATTGTTTAAGTTTAAGTTGATCGACAAATTTAGGGTTAGAACAAGATACATCATTGAAGCTCACCGAAACCTATTTATCTAAAACTCTTAAATATAAGATGAACACTAACGTACTAGCTCTTAATTATTTATGTTGGGTTTTGTTAGTACAAGAATTATGAATGTGCTTACTACTTTTAAAACTAATTCAAATCAATATAAACCTAATTAAATCAACCATTGAGAGACACTGCCAAATTAACTAAAAATCGTTTTAAATTATTTTTAAATTTATGATAGCTGAAAAATTTTTTAGCTAAACAAAGAAATAAGTAGTTATATAACCCATTATATTTATAAGAGATTATGTATTCAAATCATAATTCAATTTAGTATCATTTGATGAGATAACCTTAAAATTTTAAATAATAAATGTTAAGTGGGGATCAAAATTAACAATGACTCACTTTAATAATGATTACATTATATAGTTATAAATGAATTAATACGACCACAAAACTATATGATGAGGGCTACAATACTATTTAATGATTGTTGATCATTAATGTTAATAGCCAAACTCTTTGTTAGATAAATCCATATTTCTCATACTCATAAAGCATCCCACAACCAAAGCAAATACAGAGAAAAAAAATAAAGAGGAGAAAGAAAGAAAGGGAGAGAGCATATATAAAGTTACAGAGCAATTGATTTTAAAATAAAATAACACTCAAAATTATTATTGTTCTTAATACGAGCAATCTCTTCCACCTCTAGTTTCCACTCATACACATGGAAGTTCTGCAAACTGACATACCCATATAAATAGCAATCTCACAGAGTCCATATACAATCACACAATAATTTTTGTTTCAGAGAACCTGTCTGACAGATAGCTAGCTTTGTTGATATTAATATAATAGATATTTGTTAATGAATTAAGTAGGAGGAGGAGGATGCCTTCCAACAGAGATCCCTGAAGCAGATCTCATCTTCATCTTAGTACGGGCAATGAAGTCGTCAACCTTCTTATTGATGCTGTGGCTTCTCCTCGGCTTCTCAGTGCGGCCGTGTTTAGAGTCTTTAGAACCAACTGCAGCCTGAGTTTTGGACCGTTGATCAGAGCCATGTATCTCTACCACCTTTCCTTGTGTGGATATGGCTTCTCCTCCGCCAGTCTGGGATGCATCTCCTTTGACAGCTGCGGCGGCCAACATGGATGGTTCAGATTTCTTCTGCTGGAAAGTGAAGCTGTGGATCGCGTTAACCAGTCTGTTGCACATGGATTTTCTCTTGGCTTCTTCTACCTTCTCCTGACCTGAAACAGACAGAGGGGTGTGGGGGAAGAAAGAAGAGAGCACGCCCACTCTTTGGTGGATGCTCCTTCCACTTTAAAGGGAAAAATTAGTACCTTTACAATGCATTATTCTACATATTTTATACATATATAACAATCTACAACAATATTTTACAAAAAAAAAAAAATTAATACATCCAGACTCCATACATAATATTCTATCTGGATGAACAAGTTATGCAATCAGTTTTTATTAGATAATTAGCTCAAATTTAACTAAATTTTCAAAATTCATCTACTTCAATATATATATATATATGACTATCAAAATCATTATCAAAATATAGGCATAAAAATATAAATTTAATTAAAAAAACAATTTTAATCATTTTATTACATGCTTTTAAAGGTGTGAGTACTTAACTAATTAAATGAAAGTCAACAGGTATAAATGCATAAAAATTATATGATATGTATGTAAGTATTCCTAAAATTTAATTATGCTTGTGTTCTAGTTACATATAATTCTATAATATTTATAAATATTTTATATATTTTTTAATCATGTATAATTCGTCTAAATAAACAAACTAAATAAAATAAAATAAATACAAAAATCTTACAAACTAGAAATTATTACACCCCAAATGTGGCTTGTGTTTGAAGATGGAGAAGAGAAAGCTAGCAACGAATGACTCCCACTTTGCTTTATTCCCTATTTAAATAATAATATTATTAGTACTTGACAGAATATTAGTATCCCATGACTTCCCCCTTTCTTGATGGGAATTATATTCTGCCTTCTTAAGGGCTGTGGATTTAGCTCGATGATCGAAAATTGATTCGAGTTTTAACTCAAATTGAGATTCGATCAAAATAAATGAGCCAAGTTACGAGTCTAAACTTTAGGTTGAATTTTTTTCAAGCCATACAAAAATTAGCTCGAATTGGTTTGAGATCAGTTATTAATGCTAAAAAAATCAAAAATAAAGAGCTATGAGCCGATTTCGAGCTGCAATGACTCAAATCAACTCAATTTGAACCATCATGTTTTGATTTAGAGTTATAAATGCAAGGTATATATATTTTAGAATCCAGCTGAATTTGATTTTTATTATGAAAAGGGAAATAATTACTCTGTAAAAAACAGTGTTCATGCTTCATCTGACCATTTTTGTATGCAGCATCCATATTTGTGCATATTATATAAATATTAAAGGAAAAACTAAATCTTCAATGCAAAACCACAATGCTCATCTACTAACAGAAGGCAAATAGGTTTCTTTACCTTCCTTTGCCTTTATGTTGAGCATTAGCTGTGCAAATCGCAGAGCTTTAAGACATCTAATGAAGGAGCAAAGCAGACTGATTCTCACTCAGAGATCTGTAGGGAGGAGATCTAAAAGCTTCTTCAGAATTGTTCGTATTAGATAGAAGGCGAGCTCCACTGCTTTTTCTGCTGCTCAAAACTCCCAATCACAGCAGTCTGATTCATCTCACTCAAATATTTTGCATATTGACTGTAATATGCTTCGCTGTTTAGATTATCCAAAATATTCACAAAATTCCCCTTTTTCTCATCAACAAAAAGCTGACCATCCGTGGCCATGTTCCCTGTCATGACTCTCACTGGCTTTACTTGCATCTGTGAATCTAGATAAGGTTGAGAAGCCAAAAAAACTGCTCCCAGAATTTCCCCCAAAAAAATATCCTGTAAATAAGGAAGAATAAAATGTTAATTTAGTCCCTATAATCTTTCATTATAGGTTGAAATTGTATCAGCCCGAACTCTCATCCATTGAGATATTGGCCGCTTTAGGCCGAGTGGCATCACGGTTTTACTGCATTAGTGTAACTTCACAGGAGGTCACCCATCCTAGAAATGCCCGCATAAGAGCACGCTTATTTTTGGAGTTTCTGTCAAAAATGCAACCGTTACACTATTAGGCACCTCGATGTTTAAGAGTCCGGCTTCAATATAATCGAGGGGGTTCATAGAAATAGTTACAATGAGGACTATTTTAGCCTCCGTTAAAACATCCTGAGGACTAATTAAACACTTTTAGAAACTTCGGGAGTAAAATGACCCCATCTAAACAGTCAAGGGACTATTTTGACATTTTTCTCAATATGAATTAGACATATTAGCAAAGACAGTGAGGAAAATAAAAAAAAGGGGGCATTTACATACATACCACCAAATTCCTATGTAATTACATATCTTCCACCTAAAATTTACTTTTTTTTACATTTATACCACCAAAAAATTCATATCATATAAAAAAAACATTATTTTAACTTTTTAAAAGTGATATACAAGTTTTCATGCATAGATAAAGTGACACACATAAATGTAAGTTTAGGTGTTAGCCATTCAAAAACATAAGAATTAAGTGGTATGTATGTAAATCTTCCACAAAAAAGAAAACAAGCAAGACTGAATAAACAGAACTCAAATGCTCTGAATTACCATGTGGCTGTAAACTTTATGCTCTTGCTGTAATTTATGGAGCAGTGATAGCAAATGGTGGGAAAACTCAGATTCTGGAGTCTTTTCAGCAAGCTCTAAGATTGATAAAATCTTAGGAAAAGAGACTACTTGGCGCTGAGCATGGAGAGGGATGAGATTAATGTCCACATCGGATTCGAAAATCGTCTTTGATGCTAAGGGGTCAAGATACATGTTAAATTCTGCATATCTGTTAGATGGAACAGTGAAGAGGTTTCCTTCATCTCTGTAATTCCCAGCAATGTGGCCGCCAACAATATACAAGCTCTACATGAAAAACAGACAAAACATTGTATGAACTTCGTAATCATAAAAATACTTATGTATTTACAATATCTAACACCCAAACAAACTTTCATATTTACATGCATGACACTCAAATCTTTAATATCACATAAAAAGTACAACTTTTACGGCTTGTAAAAAGAAAAACACACCTTTTCATGTATAGGTTTATGACACCGAAGTTTTATAAATGTTAAAAAAAAAATCAAAGAGCATAGGAACTTGCCATGTTGAAAATGAGAGAAAAAAAAATCAACCTGAATCATTGAGGTGGCTTTCTCGTCAGAAAGAATAATGTTTGCTATGTTAGTTAAAGGGCCATTAGTCAAAATTGTTATCTTCTGACTTGGATTTACTTCCCTTGAAATGGACTGCCAAACTTCAAGAACTAATGGTTGCCTAAGTTCCGGGTGAGCAGTATTCCTTGGGGCACCATATTTTATGGAATCTTCTGCAGTGAATCTGTCCCAAAACATAAAGGCTCAAGTGCATTGAAATTTATAAATTTAGCTTCTTAATGCAAACAAAAGCAGTTGCGTAAAATTTGAAGATATTACAACACATCTCGCATGATTAAAAGACCAAAGAACTCTAGCTTAAGTAGCATTATAACAAACATTTTATGTCCTTTACTATAATTGGCCTTGCGCTTAGTTAGAAAAAGACAGTCTTCGGCAGTAAGTTGTGGTATTATGAACCATCAAATAGTGTAAAGAGAATACATTTTCTTAAGTATATCAGTTATCCCATAAAAACTGCTTAGCAAATACATTCAATAAAGAAAGATACCAAAATAGAAACAACTAAAAAGCAACAAAACTCCTTTCAAGAAAAAAAGAACTCCATTACCTTCTAGGACTTCTTGGCAGCAAACGTGCAAGTCCATAAAGTGTATCAGAGTCAATAAATCCACCGCTACCATATGGAATCGCCTGAACATATTTGCAACCAAGGGTTGGAGACTCCAAGGGAGTAAAATCTCCTAAGCCAACTGGTATATCATCGCGACCCATCATATGTAGCACATCATAGACGACATCTATCGTTGCACCATCTGCCCAACCATTGCTGCTAACTAATATTGCCTAGTAAAAAGTCATCAGATTAAACCTAATCAAAACCATGAAGAAACTAAACCAAATTCATATGTAATATGCACTCCTAAAGGTGAATAAGCAGTTTATTTTTACTCACACTAACTCATCTTTTTACTACCATATTTGCACCAAAGCTTATACCTTTTTTTTTTTCTTTACATTAGAGGCTTAACAAATCTTCACATTCTACATGAATTGGTTCCCAAATTGAGTGATTGGGTTTCCTCCAAAACCTGAATCAGCTCCCACATTTCTCTTTTCATTTGGCGGGGAATTAACAAATCTCCACTTACAGCTAGCGAAAAAGAGACGCCACCAAATCCAATTGACCTTGAGATAAAGATTCCAGCTGAGGTAACAATCACCACTCTAGAAGGTAGTGACTCTAAGGTAATGGGCAACCTAGCAAAGCATGAGATTATGGTGCCTCGAGCTAGCATCCTGTAGATGGTGAGAGGAACATCAACATGAATGACCTTGAATGTCTACAAGGGTTATGAGTTTGATGAGCCAATATTAGATACATGTCCACCACATATAAGCGAGATGCATATTTTTTAGATGTATAGACCCCTCCTGAATTGCCCCGATGGAGGGAGACCCAACATGTCAGAAATGAGGTAATTGTGTGTCATGTCGAGAATATTACATGGAGATATTCAGAGATTACTTTCAGGTCAGCATGGGACACCTTGTCAGATGTCCAGACGGGAGAGATGAACCCCAACTTTGTAGTGGGCCTGAGGAGCTTGATGGAGAAAAAAATTGACAATGGGATCGAGGTTCTATCTGCGGGGAAGAGGTCTCTCCTGGGGAGGTGCCAGTGAGAGTGGCGCAGTCAGAATTGAGTTCTTCTCACATACTTATTACCCAACCACCGCATGCTAAGCACCAGAAGTTTAAGGGCTCGAGAGTTGCATTGTGGGAACCCACCTCTATATGCAGCTACCACTCAGGATATGCCAAAAAATGATGGCTATCTATTCTATCAGAATGTATTGTGGAATAACTACATCGACATGATCGACCTACCAGAAGACTTATCGTCGTTCAATGAAGATCCGAAAGCTTCGACGAATGAGGTCGAAGCTCCCCCAATCCCGGGAGAATGACACAGGGGTTTTTCTCCAAAACCTTAATAGGTTTGGCCCAAACCAGTTCAGATGAGAGGGGGGCTGAACCGGCGCCCTCCTCCTTTTCATTTAGTGGGAAATTCCCCGCCCCCTTCTATTTTCATTTCTCGACTATCTATCTCTTTTTTATATGTGTGCTTGTTGTCTAGGTTTTCAATTTTAGGTTATTTTCTGATTTCATATTGTGAGGACAACCGCCGACGTTCTGTTTTCTCCCTCTGGGGCTGTATCTGATGGTTAGGGTGGTCCTCCGACTGCACCCCACTCGCCGGTGATGATTATCTATCACGACCTCCACATCCACCTCTACTCCTTGCAACCTGCTGGATTCCCCCACCAAGCTGCATCATCCAGCCGCTCCCTTCTTCTGCTGCCGTAACTCCCTCCTTTCCATAAAGCTTCCCACCTGTTACCGATCCTACCCCAGCCTCTAGACAACGAACACACTCATTTGGCTTGCACGCTGATATCCTTTCATTATATCTCTATTCTGGATGGTTTTTGATAACCTTTTATCTTATTTGGATAACTTGTTGTTGTTGGTTATCTTCTACTTGATTATTCTATTTCATGGACGATCGATAATGGCTTTTGGGGCTGCTTACGGATTTTGGCTTTGGATTTAGAATTCAACCTAACATTTTCATATTCTGGAAAGAATTCTGATCATATTCATCCTATTGGCATTTTTGAGAGCAATGATGAGATCTACAACATTAACTATGTGCTCAAACGGCGTATCTACAAGAATGTTGGTTCTTTCTCAATTTTGGCTAGTTTCTATGCTGAACAGTTATATTTTGGTCTTATATTTCGACCTGTCGTGCTCTAAACCTAATAAAACTTGGTATTGCCAGGACGGAGCTTTTCATTGAGGCCAATGTATTGTTTGAGCTATTTCCATTCCTCTCGATCCTCTTATATCTTCTTTTGGTGTATTTTATTTCTTTCATGTCTCTCTCTTTCTCTTAGGCTCATACGTGTCTTGACCCTTTCTTTTATTTTTAACAATAATTAAATTTTGCTGGAAGTGGCCCTCAATCTTCCCAGAAAAATAGAAAAAATACCCCAGCCCCAGCAGCCTTCCAAACTGCAGCCTTTTCTCCCGTCCCTACTGCCGTAATCCCACGTTTCCTTTCCAAAACCTGAAATGCAACCTGCGCTTTCTTTTCCCCAAACCACAGGTGACCGAGACAGCACATCTCCCCCTCTCCCGTGACAGCACCCCTTCCCAGCCGCCCAACACCTACAGTTGTCCTTCCAATACCTGCAACCCCCCAGCACCACTCCCCCCACAACAACAACCTGCCGTCCGCTGCCATACGCCACCCTCGTCTTCGCCCTAAGGTATCTCTTATATGTTTGGTGTTGTAATTTTTCCGATTGTCAAGAGTCTTGTTCGTAACCCTATTAAATTTCAGCAATAATATTTCAGTTTCCGTTGTGATTTGGGTTTTCTCCGGATAATATTTCAGAAAACTAGCATTAAATCTGGATAAAAACAAATCAAATTTTAAGTAATTAAGATTATCAGAGAGAAAGGTCTTCTAACAAAAAAGTTGTCAGATCACCTTGAGGTTTATTACTTCAACAGGTACTTTCAATAGAAAAATAAGAGCAAGGAAATCTCCCGCACTCATGTCCATGTCAAAAACTACAGGCTTGCCCAGCTTTCTGTTTTGAAAGTCTGGCTTGTAGAAAACCTCTTTGTAATACGGAAATTGTGTGGTGAAGTTGAACCGTCCTCGCTGCTGTGGAAGGTTTAAAACCTGCATTTTTATGAGGGAATAGTTAGTACAACCAGAAATAGAATCAAAATATGACAGGTGGTGACAATGGCATGGATAAAAACAGCTTCCATCCCCCTTTGTTTATCATGACCGAAAAAAAGCTTTTTAAATGCGAGTCCTAAAAAACATTTTTTTTCCCCAAAAGGTAGAACAAAATCAGAGTGGATTGTTTATCTAAGCATGCTATTGGTAATTATAAATATGTAGGTGAGTAGCTGTAGGTCTAATAATTTGACTTGAAGATAAAAAAATGGACCTATTTTGGCTCAAATCTAGTTCAAATAGAGCAAAATGAGCCAACCATAGCTCAGATTGAGATAAAATTGAATCCACAGCACTTACTTCCAAGAAACTTTTGAAGAATTCTAGACGAAGTGAACTGTTAGCTTTGCTGTTTGGTTTTGCGTATTTAGCAACATGTACAGAAACTGCTTCCGAACCATCTACTTCTTTGGTGTATCCATCCTGCGCCGCATCATATGGATTAAACAAGGATAAAAATTTTGGTTCTTCATGCTAAAAGGCTAAAATACCTCGCATCTCCCCTTTCCTTTCTTTTTCAGAAAGCAAAATGGATCACTAGGTCCCATCTGAACATGACCACTGTGCACCCCACCTTTCCTCAGTCTAAACTTTGGAATGTCACGACCATCAAAGAATGGATTTGAACCATCATTTATACCATAGGGTTTATTGGAAGTAATTACGGTTATGTTTAGATATTCGAGCTCAGCAAACTCATTTTGACCATTTGATTTGTGAGCGTTACGCATGTCCGACAAAGCTATGCCTGAAGTAAAGGAATCCCACATGCAATAACTCTGTATAAACATCAATATTATGGCTCTTGAATTATTAGCTCGGGTCTAATATAGTTTACATCAATGCAACTAAACCCAATCACTAAAAGAGGACAAAATCCGTACTTACTGGGTAAAACATATTATCAAACCAAGTATCACGAGCCATCTTCAAAGATTGGAAGCAATATTGTGCCTCATAAGTGGTCTGATGCTGAGAAAATGCCTTGAAGAACTGAGGATCTATAGGAATGGTGTTTGTCGCATCTAATGGGACGAGAGTAAGCGGAACCCCAGAATGAAAAACCTAAAATAACAAAAAAGATTAGCATCAGCTTATATTCTTTCCATGTAATACACAATCGTAGTTCAATCTAAAAGCAGACATACGCAAACAAAGAAAAAATTACTTCAAACACAAGTTGCTATAATGTTTATAACAAACATCAATAAACAAGAATTTCATAAGATTCCAAATATGATATTATTTGTGTGAAGATAAGATAATAACATACACAAATGAGGAAAGCGCCTAAATAGTCATCTGACTCTTTGTAGGGGTCATTTTTGTTTAAGAGTCTATAAAAGTGTCAATTTAATCTCCAAACTCCTTTATCGGGGGCTAAAGTCCCCTGAAAATAATAACATATAATAATGAGAAAAGTCAAAATAGTCATTTGACTCTTTGTACAGAGTGATTTTAACCTCAGAGGCTATAAAAGACTTAAAAATGTCAGTGTAGTCTTCAAACTCGTTTAATTGAAGCTAAAATAGTCTTCCCAGAGGACATTTTAGCCCAAAAATTTTGGAGACAAATTTGATATTTTTATAGGCTCTAGGATTAAAATGACACCAAATAAATAGACGGGATTATCTTGACACTTTAGGATCTAGTAAACTGGGTAATTATGAGGACAATATATTGTTAAAATGACACCATATAAAAGACTTAAGATTAGTTGCAATTGATAAAAGAACCCTTACAGAGTTTAGTTTTATAGTTGGGGCAAATATCTGTCATAGGTATGAATGAATCCCTTAGCAACCAGTCGAACCTTGTATTTGCTAGAGAACCATCAGAAATATACTTGATTGTAAATACTCATTTGTACCTGACAGTTGTTTTTCCTCTAGGTAGATCAACAAAATCTCACTTGTCAATTTTTAAAAAGCCTTCGTCTCCCTAAAAACAGTCTCTTTCCACCTAGGGATTTTTCGGATCACCCTGCACAGTATTAAGAATCTTCATACAAAACAATTGTGAGATAAAAGCATGAAAAGTGGGTGAGAGAGTTTCAAACGACATAAAATGGGACAATGATATTGGTGCAAGACTTTTCCCAATGAGAAGGCTAGACTCATTAGAATCGTGATTTGAACTAGGCTCAGATTTAGAGCTAGAAAACTTAGAACTCGAAGATGATGTGACCTGAATATGGGCTAAATGATTAGAAAGGACATTACCAGCCAGCTGTGCGGATTCTGAGGTGAAAGGATCTGTAGACCATTTCTTTTGAGTTGTCTCTGCCGCGAGAAGACAATACCATTGTTGAACTGTTTTTCATATTTCTTTTTTGTTATTAACATCACGAGATGACATTGTAGGAATTTAAATATCTAAAAGACTCGATGCGCTCTCTCCAGATCTATATTATTTAGGTTTTCAGGTTGAACAAACAAGATTAGGGAAATACTATTTTGGGAGTCTCATGTTTGAAGAAAATCTTGAAAATCAATAACAAATCTGTTTTGTTCTCTCTCTTGAAGATGAGGTAAGAAAAAATGTTGCAATTAGAAAAAGATAGCATGTGTTGTAACAAATTTTTATTAGAATCGAGATCAAAGTATTTATATCCCTTTTGGCTAGGAGCATAACCAACAAACACACATTTTTTAGCTTGAGGTTCAAATTTTCCTTGATGATGACTGTGAACGAAAATAATATACCCAAATATCATCAATGGTAGAGAAGATGAGAGCTGATTGTTTGGAAAACTTTTTTAAAAACATCAAAAAGTTTTTCAAAGTTTAAAACCTTATTTGTATTTTATTTATGAAAAATGTAGTTGTAAGGATAACTTCACCTGAAATATATTAAGACACTTGAAGGTAAATATCAATGCCCAAGATACCTCCAATAAGGACTTACTTTTCCTTCTAGCCATAACATTTTGTTCAGGAGTATCGACACAAGAGCTTTGATAAATTATTCTTTTTCGAAAAAAAATTGACCCAAATTATTATTGAAATACTTTCGACCATTATTTCACAATATTTGAATGATTTTTTAAAATTATTTGTACCATGGTGTAAAAATTTTTTAAAACTAATTTTTCTTTTACTAAATAAACCCCTTAACTTAGTGTGACCAACAATGAAAGTCATAAACCATCTTTTCCCAGAAAGTGTACGGTTTTTATAAGGACCCCAGATATCACTATGAATCAGAGTGAATGATATAATTTGTTTGTATATTTGTGGAGAAAATGAACCACAAAGATGCTTAACAAACTGACAAACTTCACATTGAAAAAATAAATAAATTTTTATTCCGAAATAATTTGAGAAATATGTATCCATGTACTGAAAACTATAATGAAATAACATATAATGTTACAACATAATTTTTTATTATTATTATTTTTAGAAATGGGAACAAAATTTAACTTGGTGATTTGACATTGGCTATTCGAGCCAAGTCCATCATCAAAGTAACAGTCCATATTTTTTCTTAACATAGTCAATAATCCTCCTCATGATTTATATTCTTGAAACTCATAACAAGAAGTTAGCTTGACATTGATGATCATCAGCAATGTTACTAGAGGACAATAAGTTACACAATATATTAGGAACATGGAGATATCGCGAAAGGTTAACGAGGAGGGTTTGACAGTTCCTATTCTGACAATTACCGAGAGGAAACCATTGATAATTTTGACAATTTTATTACTTACACAAGGTCTATAGGAGGAAAATACTTTAAAAAAATTAGTCATGACCAATTAAGCCGGAATCAATTATCCAAGAATGAGAAAATTATGAATAAAGTCTAATAAAGCTGTAGCAAAAAAGTTATCGTTTTGTACTAAGAAGCAAAATGGAGTCTGGAATAATTTTTAGAGATTGAAATAATTTGAGCAAGTGCTCTAATTACTCATCGATGAAAGGAACTGTATTCGAGTTAGCAAGTGGCACATGAGTTTCTTCAACATGGCTTAATAAGCTCGACCTTCACGGTTGGATTTTGAATTCTAATTTTTTGGTTTACCATGAAGCGTCTAACATGTCTCTTTCGTATTTCATGGATTTTTGCAATGCCCACATCATTGTTTATTACACCCTTTTTATCAAAATTAATTCTATTTGGCACAAGACTGAGTTTCTCTGTTCAAAGTTACAAGACAATTCAATATTGCACAACATAATTTTATTCTCGACTCTTCAAGTTTAACTTCAGAAAAAAAAAACTTCTTGAATTGAGGTTAGAGGTTTCCTACCAAAAATTCAATCTCAGACTTCATCTATACTCCGATTAAGGATGGCAAAGAACATGCACACAATCATTTTCCTCTCTCTTTTTGTGGTGAGCATAACATTCAAATTTTCTTAAATATCATCATAACATTGATCAAACTCCTGCAATAATGTTACCAACTCAGTGTAATACGTAGTAACATCACGATAATTTTGTTTGGATTTCCAAAGTTGAACTTTCAACTAAAAAGTTTGTATTGAATTCTCCAAATCTGAATAGAGATCTCGAAAGGCCTCTCAAATATCTCGAGCAATTGGAAGGAATATATGAGGTTTACCTGTGATAGGTTCCATTGAGTTGATGAGTCATGCCATCACCAAATAATTTTCGAACTGCCATTTTTTAAGATTCAGATCGCTAGCAATTCGTTTTGAAAATTTTCCAATTAAATAACCAATTTTGCCTCTCGTTGATCGCCTATATTATAGATTGAACCAACTCAAGCAAGTTGTGTCTATTAAGTTTTATAACTTTGCAATAAGTTGGCAAATTTAGAAAAAAATATTCAACCAAGACAGCCATGAGAGGAGTTGTAGGGTGAAGTGAGGAGGTTTCAAAATTATTAGAATAGATCAATATGATAGAATTTGTTGAACTCTCATCATCATTGTTGATTTGTACAACATCCTTAGAATCTGACAAGAGTAGCACAACTTTAGTTGTTGCATCAAGAAAAAAAAAGCACGCCCTAGTTTAGATACAGGCTCGGCCCGCACAGTTTTGACCCTGCTTGAGGAAAGACAAAGAACTCCACCAAATCAGGTGACATCAATTCTTTGAACATCACAATCCAATCATGACCTACCCAGTTGGCTCTAATCATGCCATATCACGAGGGCTTTCAGAATGTCGTGATCCAGTCGTTGCCTTCCCATCTAGTTCTAATCTCGACTGTATCGAGAGGGGTCTCTGAACGTTGTGATCCAGTCATTGCCTTACCAGCTAGCTCTAATCGTGACTATCTCATCAGGGGTCGGTCATATAGACGATGGTATTGGGCGAATCCAAGAGGGGCAAGAGCAAAACGACAGCCTGCGAACGATCAAAGGAATTAGATTGCAGTTTCAAAGGCCAAAGTCGGCTCATATACCATGTAGGTTTTGGGAGGGAAGAATAATTATTCCTTTTCAATTTCATAAAAAACGATTACAAGACAAACAGACAGGGATGACTTCCACATTAGAAAAATAAAAATATCAGCTATAACTCCTATGATAAAAGAATGAAACAAGAATTATGACATACCAACAATCTAAATTTTAAAAATAGAAAATACTACTAATAAAAGATACTTAAAAAGAAAATCTTCCTAAGAATCCAACAATACCTGATATGCTGCAAATGGATCTGCAAATATATTAAACTCCGCATATGGATTGCTAGCATATGCAGTAAACAGGTTGCCGACATTGCCACACTGTTGAGGCTTGCAGGAGGTACTGAAATTCTTGGGGCAACAACCTGTAGGATTTTTCGACCTTACTCCGCCACCCATAATATATATATGTTCAATATTTTTCTTCAAGTGTGGATTGGACATTAGAAACAACGCAAAATTTGTATGTGAGCCGATCAAAAAAACAGTAGTAGGCCCAGCAGAAATTGTGTCAATGATCACTTGTTGTGCTGTAGGTTGAGTGAGAGGGTTATATTTCCTGTCACCCTGTATTTATACAAATGCAAGCTAGATATAAAATGTATAGTATAAAATGAGATTCAATAATTCTTATTTGATATTTTGATATTATTATTAAAAGTTCCTGTTAATTATGAAAATAATAATGATCATGTCGACGAGGATAAAAACGACAATACATTTTACCTGAAATAGCATATCAGTTAAAACTACATAAGAAAAAAAAAGTTCTCATAATTTGGGACCATGCAAGATCATTCCTTTCATTCAATATGAATGTAGGATGAGGTTTTGATACTAAAAAATTAAAGATTGAGATTGCTTTGGTCCAAAAACATTGGTTGGTCAATAGGTCTCTAACAACATAAATAGAAAGAAAGAGATTATTAAAATTCTCGTGCGTTGCATTAAGAATCTTACATCCTATTATACGCTATACTAAATAATTCCTCTTTGGGAAACAACTAACTAAACAACAATTACTTCAAATTTTCACTATGGCACATTATACAAAATATTAGCAAAAGTTTCTAGAGATGAACCTATGAAATATGAAAGGGAATTGCTCAGATTTCAGAATGTAGTCTACGAGAATGTAAAAAAATCAGTAGGTCATAAAAATGCATATCTATGCTCAAACCTGAGGGAGAAAACTCCTACGTATTCCAAAATTAGTGTCCGAATGTAATCTTCCTCCAACACCTATCGGTATAGCTTGTCGATAACGGCAGTAGCCTACTGTTGTTAGGCCCTGAAACAATAAAATTCAGAACTTATTATTCTCAATTAGGAAACTATAATATTCAAGTTTTTAACTACAAAGAGAAAAATATACAGAAGAAATAAAAAAAAAGTTGGCATGTCAATTTAGAAAAACTAAGCAAGGTTCCTTTACCTGCTCAATTAAAGGTAGAAATCCACCCACATTGGACAGTATGGTACCCTCATCAGATACCCCGCCATCACCACCAACTCCAACCGACACATCATCCCGATCCATCATAAAAAGAATGTCGTATATATGATTCACGGCATGCCCCGCATCACTCCATGCATTTGCACTAATAGTTACAGCCTAAACTAAAGCAAGAAATCATTAATGAAAATAACTAACAGGCACATTTCATGAAGAGCTTGAATATTCAGAACTCAAATAATTGATTAGGAAACTAAGCTCATGCAAGCAGCTAAGAATATAAGGCATTCAAACCAAGCAAGGAGCAATTTGTTAGCTATTACCAGTTCTAAAAAAAGAAAATTAGATTAAGAGAGGATAAGAAAGAATTAAAAATAAATATATTGCCTAAGAACGAAAAATAAGCATTCGTTGGAAGAAAAGATCAACCCAAGGACATTAGATGAATTAGCATTGAATTTTGGAATAAATTAAAAGTGATAGAAATGCTTGATAGGCCAACTCCGATCAAGCAAGGGCATCCGGAGTAATTACAAAAATAGAAATTTCATTTTAATATTTTAAGTTGTATTTGCATCAACCTTGCAAAAATTTGTTACTCTAAAAACATCACTAACTGAAAGGGGAATTTATATGCATACCACTGAATTTATGGACACTTTCATATCTAACACCTAAAGTACTTGTATTCATTTAAATAACGTTTACATCTCTAAATGACATAAAAAATATCACTAGGATCATTTATCTCAAATGAAATATATATGTTCATTCTTATGTTTTAATGTTATTCAGACTTAAGATGTTATGGTTGTAAATGGCCAAATATGTCCACTATTTCATTATTTGGAGAAATAAGTTCAAAAGTTTATTTCGAACTGAGAAGTTTTATACATGGTCTACACATTTGTTGTTCGCTACAAATAAATTGATCCAAAGTGATTCGCATTGAAACATTTGTTCAAACTTGGTTCAAACCTCTTTCAAAATTGTGATTCAGACAATAAGAACTTCGTTATAATCTTTTAATTTAAATCAATTCACTTATATTGAATTACATCATTTTCCCTCTTTAAAGGTAGTTTCTTTTTCTTTACACAACCATTTATCTGGCTTCACCAATCATAACAGCATGATAATGTTATTTATTTCAACGGAAACTACTTGTATGTTTTTATTTCTAACCTAATGTGTATTTTTAGCATACATGCATACTGCGGTATAAAACTATATGCATAAATTGAAACACTCAACACACCAATTCCGAGTTGCGAATAATGCTAGTTCTTGCAATTGACCCATCACATCAAGTTTTTTTATGCGGATATCCTCTCATGCAAATTAAGATTATCATTAATATCACAATTAAGGATAGATGTCCGAAGTAGCTAATAAAATAGAAAATCAAATTTTGAGCTTTATTCAAAAGCTTCCCCAATGCTTTTTCAATTTTCTTAGTCAAAATAATTTTTATATCATAATGAGTTTATAAAATAATTACCGTTGTATTGTGTCTCAAATACTCTAATAATATAATCAAAAGATAGTAGCATGCACACTTGGTAATATTGCTGAAGCTCTTTGAATATTCGTTGTCATTAAATTGCATCGACCCCACCTCTTAAGGCCAACTCCGTTCATTGGATAGACAACAACTGTTGCGTTGTTCACCCATATTTTATCGAACACAAATAAACTTAATTCTTCTATAAGCTTTGAAAGCCGAAAGATAATACTCATGACAATATTTGTTTTAAACTAAGTGACATTGGATGCAAATGAATAGAAGCTTCATTATCTACATTTAAAAATAGTGCAAAAAAATATTGATAATATTGTTTTGTTTGTGAGAGAAATATACAACACTTTCTACTAAATTTATTGACTCTCACACTAATCATGAAATATATCAACATTTTTTTTACTCAACAACTACAAAGAGTATTTGATGAATCTAAACATTAAACCTATTAAGTCTTGCAACATTGCAACATCCAAAATATATTCATAATATGTAAAACAAAATACTCTATCCACAAGTAATACTACATACACTTTTGACACATGGAATACAAAGACCAAAAAATAAAAAATAAACATACTTGAAATGTCATCAAATGTCAGAATGAAGATCAATAATTACGTATAGAATAATTCTATTTATCATAATCAAATATAACAGTAATTACATAAAGGATTTTTCGGGGGTTCCTCTTACATAAGTGATAGCTTATTCACTGCACCATCACGCCTTCTCATAAGACAAATGAACATTGAAGTCCCTCGTCACATCTATTTTAACCATCTCTTGCTTCGAATTATGATTTGATCCAAAAATTTCTCTTTGATTATACGTTAAATAGGCTATGGTTGACGTCCTTGATGGCCTTTCTATTTAATATCCAAAATGCAAGTGTAACAATCATGACTCTTAATCTAAAATATTATAAATTTTATCAACTTTGCAGCTTGCAAGCACAATGAATATTGCTTAAAAGTATAATGAGTATAATAAACTTCTTTACCTTTTTTAAATTTTGAAAAAAGCTTTTTTTTTATTATATACAGAGATAACTTCCTCTTTTAATCATCATTTCTCCTAAAAAATTGTTCAATTTTTAAATGAATTTAAGACAAACTTGAACATAAGATCATTATATCAACGACCATTGAATTGAAGTTACATTCAAGAACTCACCTAAGTATGATAGGAGTTACAATATGCTTTTAATAGCTTGAGTTGCTCTCAACCCAAAAATTAAAAAAGAATAAAGGACCTCACTCATTTATTAATTTCAGATATATCACAAAATGCTAAAGTAGATACTATTTCCACCATCATCTGCATCCTATATGACTCACGCATCATCTACTATTTCCAATATGACTAAGGCATCATCTACTTTTTCATGTTGTGTGTCCATAACATCATATATATGAAAGATGATGAACTGAATAACCTAACATCATCCTAATTTACATAATAAATCTTAGTTAAAATTCCTCTGGGAGCAATAGACATAGATATTGTTAATCGATATTCAATTAATATAAATATCTAACTCAAGAAGAAAGCAAAACCATAATGTGTTAATATCTCTAACGAAAAAATTGATATTATGAACTGTGCTCTAGAAAAATAATAATCACCCTATCACACTACATCAGTTTTTTTAGTCAATATAACTTTAAAAATAGGATCTATGGGAACTTTGAAGAAATGTTTTTTTGAATCATTAAACATTTACTTTGTTTTCTAGTAAATCTCAAAACAACCTGACTATGTTCATTCTATTTTCATCCATAAAGCGCAAAAATATTGATGCTTGATTCACTATTAAGAAATAAAAAGATTTAAATACATACCATTCAATTCCTAGGTATTTACAATTTATCACCTAAACTTCAATTATACATATTTACACCCAAAAATAGCCTGCACAAATCTCTACACAATCAGACGGTCCAGATCGAAAGAAATAAATCAAAGAATATTCTTTTAAGGAAAAGCTACAAGTATTTATAAAACCAGTTGGCTGAAGAACCTTTCAGCCGACCTGCAACCAACTAACCGAAAGACTGGCGACCAACCAAGGGACCACTTAGGCTAACCAAAAGTAAACATTCATCCCAATGACCGTAGAAAAGGTCTGCTACTCCCAGCAATCTCACAAGTATCAAAGTTAAACTCTCTCAACACTTCCCCCAAAGATCACCAATGAACAAGCAAAGGCAACCGACCATACTAGAGCTTACTGGCCATACTATGGTCGATCAGCTACCACTCCCTAAGCTGACTGGATTCCTAGAGCGAAGACCGACAAGTATTTATACAGAAGTAACCGACCGAGACTATCGCGTTTGATAGACCCAAGGACATTCCGCCCATAAGGTCCAAGAACATTAAATAACCCCCAAGTCAGTTACAAATATATGAAAAGACGCAATAAAAAACAATAATGTCTTGTAACCCCTATTAAAACTAGGATAGATATGTAATTTTTCACTTTCTGATCTTCTACCCTCTATAAATAGGGGTCCATAATAGGTAAAAGAGGTTTTTGGCTCTTCTCTCTATACCCATTCTCTTTAAGGAGATCTCTCCCCTTCTTTCTTGTAGTCATTCAGTTACAATATATAAAATAGGTCACAAAGCCCAGGAATATCCCTGTCTGCCCCAACGGAGCAAGTCTATGTGTGTTCTTTTATTTCTTCATCTTTCTCTCTCCACTTCTCCCTCGAGGTCCCTAATGCTCCTATCCATGGGAATGCCTCACATGACAAATTTGGATTCAACAACACACACACACAAATATGAATATATAAATAAATATGTCATCTTAATTATGCATAGATAGGCATATTTCATTTTTTTTTAAGTTGAATAGTGATTTTTTATGTGATACAAAAAAAATTTGGGTGTCATAAATAAAGAAAAAAGTCAATTTTCAGTGTTAGATATGTAAATGGATAGAAATTGGGTGGTACGTATGCGGATGCCCCTAGAAAATAACTGGCGATAATATGAGCACATTGTTCAAAATGTCATGTTTGAATTAAATTTGAGCTTTTTTTGAATTTTGTTTAATTAGGCCAGGTTCAAACACTTGTTCAAACAAGGTCAAAAATGATTCAAACACGCTTCAAACAAATCATCTACTGTTATTTTGACCATCAATTATTTAACTAAGGTAAAATGACACTTTTGTAATGTGATACCGCTCACATATCACATCTCACCTACCTTCCACCTACCTTCCACCTACCACTCTCTTGCTTTTATAAATAGAGAGGGTGCGAGGCTTAGGAGAGCAAGGGAAGAGATCTTAAGCAACCACAAAAGAGGAGAGAATAGCTAGAGAGCTAGAGAGGAGGAGAGCATCTTGAGGCCTTGTATCAAGGTGTCGCTTAAGAGGGAGGTCATAGAAGGAAGATGAGGGCTCGTTTCTATGTATAAGCTATGTATTCTCCATTTCTTTTGCCTTAGTGAACCCCTCCCATGGGCGTAGATCCAGTTGGATCGAACCACATAAACGATCTGTGTTTGCTTGTTTTCTTTGTGTTTCATTTCTATGCTAGGAAGTACATATCTCACAACAATTGACGCCGTCTGTGAGAAGATTCATACTTCTTGGCTAGAGGTATCCGCCTAAAGGTGT